GGGGTTAAAAGTTGACGGATTATGGAGATTTTAATGACAATGCACAAGCAGACGGGCACTAGCGATGTTGAACGAGGACCAGATGCCTTTTATCCAGGAGTCAAATCAACTATTTACGTATCCAATTTTATGTTCTGCTTTTGAGTTGGCTTGCGGTGCGATACTTGAATGGCTGCTGGGATAAAGATGCAGTCCGTGCTAGATCTGGGTGGTGTGTTGAGGAATCCCCTCGCGGTAGTGACGAAGCCAACTTGACAACCACAAAAAAAGCCCGTTGCATACCGCTCAGGTCGTCTTGGCCTTGGGCACGCTAGCAAGAAGCAGACGCTCGTCGCGGCGCCAGACCAGGACCATGGCGGCGCCGGCCGGGCCGGCCAGGCCGGTGAGGACGGTGGCCAGGCTCGGGGCGTCGCTGGCGGCCCAGAACTGAATCGAGGCCCAGTAGAGCACCGCGGCGGCGCCGAAATAGCCGTCGTACTGCAGCAGGTTGAGCGCGCCGTCCTCGATGCTGGCCACGGGCGTGAGCTTCAGCGGCGTCGAGGCCGGGCCGAAGACGGACGCGACGTCGACGTCGGCCGGGTTCGGCGGCGCCAGGGACGGCGGGCGCAGGGAAGGGAGGAGGACGTAGGCGAGGGTGGCGGCGTGGTTGGCTACGACGAGGGTGAGCGTAAAGATGTAGACCCAGCGCAGGCGGCGCGCGAGCTCGGCCTTTTTCTGCTCGGGGGCGGCCGTCGTCGCAGCCGCGGGGCGGAGGCGGCGGGAGGCGGCGGAGAAGAGGCGGTGCGAGACGCTCGTGATGATGGGGAAGAACTGCCAGACCAGGATGAAGGTGACCTTTTGGTCAAAGGGGACGAAGGCGGGCGAGGGCAGGCAGCACAGCATGGTGGGCAGCAGGTAGCCCCAGATGAGCGAGTGCGGCAGGACCGAGAGGTCGGTGTCCTCGATGGCCAGGGCGGCCGTCAGCGTCGCGTCCGAGTCCGCCGCCGTGACGGACGCGATGGGCGACGTCCAGAACCAGAGGGCCGCCCAGATCGGGGTAGTGATGCCAAAGGTCATGGTCTGATACAGGGCGCCCCAGAAGGCGGTGCTGAACGGTACATGTCAGCGAGAAGAACGGACGGGTAGATGGAAACGTGGGATGGAGCCCGAGCAGCCGTACTAGGAGATCAGCCTGCCGCGGTTGCCGGCGCGCAGGCCCTCGAGTACCTGCAGGGTGTGAACGGCGAGCAGCTGGCCGGCGAACCAGAAGGAGAAGAGGCTAAGGGGCTGGTGGTGGCCGTTGGCCATAGCGGCGAAGACGCGCATGCCGCCGGCGATGTGGTGGTCGACGGCCGGGACGCCGAGGTAGGTGGTGCGGAGGGTGCCGTCCAGGCCGGTGCCGGGAAACCGAGTCGGGTGGGCGGCGCCCCAGGCGTCTATCACGTCGAACCAGCCGCTCTTGGTCTGCAGCCCTACAATACAGTAGGCTGCCGCCACCGCCATCGCGACGAGGATCCAGGGTGCGGCCGCGATAGATGTCATTTTTTTCTGGTTCTTTCTTTCCGCTCTTGTCGTTTGTCTTGGATGGTCTTGGATGGGCTTTTGTCTCGCTTCCAGCCAGCCGCAAAATTTGTCGTTGTTGGAAATGCCACGCCCCACCACCGTGTTGCTGACGCCAAGCGATCCTGCGACTAACCACATCCAGCCGCAGCCCCTCGCCAGCACCAACGTGCCCGGCACGTGTCCCTATTTGATGATTTTATATTCCTCCAACTCGCTGTTTCCTACAGTTGGGACTGGCTTTAATAATTACTTATTGAACAAAACATTAAAGCTACCTAATTAAGCTCACCAGGCCAAGCAATTAGTTGAACACAACCCCAAAGTTCCCATCAACATGTGCTTATCGCTCAAACACCAACACAGGCGTATGTCCTAGCCCATAAGCCACGACAGTCTGATCCGGCAGCCGGGTTCCACCTCACAAAATCCCCAACACTAATCCCGTAGGTGCGCGAAATGCCCTCGCAGTTCTGTCCACCCTCGACGAAGTGGAATCGCTTGCAGTTGCCAACCATGCCATCCTGCACCGGCTGCGGCGTGTTGCTGGCGGGGGGCGGCTGAGTCTGCGAGCCGCCGTCGCCAGAAACCCCCACACAAACGTGATATTCGGTCCACATGGTGTTGCACGCGGTGCCGCCGATGCCCTTGTTCCACTGCTGCAGCTGAGACTCGCCCAGGCCGTACCTGCTCGCCAGGTTCCAGCAGTTGTCACCCGCGGCCACCAGGTGGAACTTGTTGCAGTTGCCGACCATGCCGTCCTGGATCGGCTGCGGCGTGTTACTGGCCGGGGGCGGCTGGGTCTGCGAGCCGCCGCCGCCGCCAGACACCCCTATGCATTGGTGGTAGCCGGTCCACATGTTGGCGCAGGCGACGCCGCCGATGCCCTTGTTCCACTGGTGCAGTTGGGCTTCGCTGATGCCGTACTTGTTGGCTACGGACCAGCAGTTGTCGCCTTCGACGGCGAGGTGGAACTTGTTGCAGTTGTCCACCATGCCATCTTGGGTCGGCTTGGGCGTTTCGATGCCGTTGGATGGGCCGGTGGGGGTGGTCGGGGTGGTTCCGACGACACCGACGCACACGTTTACATCTGCCCAGAGCCCACTGCAGGCGGTGCCCCCAACTTCGGGGTTCCAGAGGACGAATTGGGCAAGGGTGATGCCAGCCTGGCGGGCAATCTCATTGCAGTTCTGGCCCTTCTTGACCAGCTGGAACTTGTTGCAGTTGTCCACCATGCCTGGTTGGATGGGTTGAGGGGTTTCTATCCCATTGCTCGGCTTGGTTGGGGAAGCAGTGGGGGTGCTGGGTCGCGTCGGGCTTGGCACGGGCTCAGGCTGAGGTGCTGGCCCGGGCGTGGGTTGAGGGTCGGTCCCGGAGCCGGTCCCCGGAGACGAAATGGACCCCTTGACGCAGTAGGACCTGGTTGGCTCCCAGTCCCCGCAAGACTTCACCCACGGGTTCTATAAGGTCGAGTGGTGGTTAATGCGCAGCTCCAGGACACAATGACTGCTGCCAGATATTGTGGGTGCAAACATACCAGCCTCGTCAAGTCTGCCTCGGTCGCACCGGCGATGGTGAGAGCAAGGTCACAGGGCATCCCATCGTCAGTGTTCCACCACAGGCTGCAGTCTGACGGCGCGCCAGGGTCTGTCTTGTAGAGCGGTTCGAGGCTGTCCCAGCGGCGGTGCACCGAAGCACCGGCACCCTGGGTGGCCAGGAGGCCGATGGTGACGAGGGCAGAGAAGCGAGACATTCTCGTAGAGGAAGAGGCTGGGCGAGCTGCAATGCCTGAGGGTTGGCTGGGTTGCTGGGAAGGTGAAGCAGCCGGAGCGGTGCAAACAGTGCTTATAAAACTTTTCCTTAAGGAGAGATTGAGTTGTGCACAACCAAATATCTGTTGTCTAATTATCGCCAGATGAGCCGCAAGTCGCCTTGGGCGGGGTCAGCATGGCTCGTCGGTGGCGCAGGAGAAAGTACCGCAAAACTGCTGCCAGTGACAGCTGATCACCCAACTCCCCAAGCAAGCAGTCTCCAGTTGCTCCCCTTTGCCTACATGAAAGCGATTTCATTCCCCGATCGGGATGGAGTTATCATATAGACCGGGTACAGTGGCTTTAATTCCGGCGCAATCAGCTATATTGACCGCAGCCTGGAAATTGAGGATAAGCACAAGCCATGGTACCGAGGTCGGGAGCTCATCGGCCTCGAACTGCCTGCATCTTGGCGTGGTTGTTGGTTTGGTCTCGGATCTCGAGCTGTGAGCTGAAGGCATCTTGGCAGTGGATGAACCCTCATCCCCATAGGGTTCTTCTCCCCTGCGAGCTCGGCCCCACCATGTGGTCCGGCCCATGCCGCGGGCGGTTGGCATGAGGTAATCTCCAACAGATACTCTCCCACGGGGGCCCACTGACACGGAAGACACGGCCCTTTTCCTGATGGGCCCCTGCCGGTCAGCAGGGGACCTCGGGCCAAGCGACCAAAGTCGTCATCTGGAGCGAGTGGATGTCCCCGCTGCCCTCACACAATGGACCCCTGAATCCCCAGTGCGCCACGGCCATGCCGTGCCCGCTCGCTTCCGTTTTACCCGCTCCCCACATTCCCAACAGGCGTTGGGACGAAGGGGTCTGGTGCCCTTGTGGTCTGTTTGCCAGCGAAGGACCTGGGCGAGGTTTGGGAGGGGAAATTTAAAAGTAATTACATTATCAACTGTGGTCAACCAGAACGGAGTTCGCAGAGATTCCCTTTCGAACACCAATCGACGACAAGGGCCCTCCATTTGGGCAGCAGCCCACATCTCTCTAAGCCGTGACTGCTGGCAACTGCATACACTGGCATACACTGGCGGTGCAACAAGACTGGCGCGGAAGCTACCTGGTAGATACCTAAAATGCCATGACCATGGCGAGAACCCAAGCCGCCCAGACCGCTCCAGTAGTTGCCGCAGCCCATGAACCGCCGCTCTGCTTCGCCTTCGGCGGGCAAGGGGTCGAGATGGTGCGCCAGTCTCCCTCGTCGCAGCCCATCTTCCCCAGCATCGCGGCCGACACGTTTGCCGCCAGGTCCTTGGCTAAGGGCTTATAGCCGCACTTGATGGTGGAGGGAGTCGTGTGAAAGGTAGGGCAGCGGTCGTTGGGCTCCCCGGGCTTGACATCGAGAGTAATCGAAGTCGAATTGTGAGGCTCCGGACACGAGTCGATGCTGGCCGCGATGTCGGGGAGCTGGGCTCCCGGGGCGGTGTTGAAGCGGATGAAGTTCCAGTGGCTCCATGTGTCGTTGCCGAGGTCCCCATTTTGCGGATTGCATTTGTTGTCGGCGACGACGTGCCAGTTCACGTAGTACGACTTCGTTGTGCCGTTGGTCATGTTAATTGGCGGGTAGTGGATGAAGTGGGCTGCCGACGACGGGAAAGGAGCTCTCTTGAAGTCGTTTGAGTTGAAGCGTTCTGACACATGTCCCCATCCGCTAACGGACGAGTTACGGCGGTAGTCATCAGCCCACACCTCTATAATGACGCTGAGGCCGTCCTTGGGCAGGATAGGTAGGACCCCGTCGGCATTTTGGATGCCAAAGACGATGGGGAAATATTGCGTAGGTGCGTAGGTCTCGTTGGGTTGGGGGAAAAGCAGATCGAATTGCACATTGTTGGGTAGCTTCTGCTGTGCGTTTGTGAGCGAAGCCGCTATTGGAGCAATGGCGAGAAAGGTCGAGGGCCGCATCTTGATTAGCTTGATAGAACAAAGTGGTGAAGATGATGGGTTGGTGTCGAGGGGCAGGCATTTCTGCAAACCTGAGTCGAACCGGCCATGCTTGGAGGTTTTCCTTCAGGGCAGGATGGAGGGCATGCGGGAGCAAAATCCACACGCACCCCACACGAATCAGGCAGGTGACTCTCGGTGCGGTGACGAGCCATTACGGGGCGATTTTCAGTGGATTTGATTTCCATGCAAGCGTGAACGACATTAAGCCCAGCTTAGCCAAGCAACAGCGGAAATTGCGGATGTGGGCGAGCGGGCGACTTCACCTCCAGGCCCAAGACCCACACAGTTGCTCCGCCCCCACTTGACATACATTGCGTGGGGTGGCTGTGGGGTTGGTAAGCTAACGATGCCATCCAACAGACACGCAGGGGGAAGGAACCTTGAACAAGTAACTAGGAATCATCACGAAAAAACGGAAGGAAAAAAAAGGGACAAGCAAATGACAAAAAATGAGGGAAAGGGACTTACCACCGGTGTCCCCCTGACGCCAGAGTTTAAAAGAATGGGAGACCGTCAGCTGCTAATCACTGTTTGGTGTGTTTGGTCCTCACCCATCCACCCTCCTTCACTCTTTTGCCTCTTACGAGGGACCTCCAAGCGTCATGATGGACCTTCGCAGACACTTGCTCCCCGTCCTGGGGCTGGCAGGTGTTCTAGTTGCAGCTCGGGACATGTGCCCTGAGCTGTGCAGCGTCGCCGGCCCGAATCCGTCCAACTGGACCGTCGTGGCCGAGTTTGGCCAGCTTCAGGCCTGCCGGAAGACACTGGTCCTCGACTTCGCAGTGCATATCCCTGTCACTGTTCAGCAGCAGATTCGGGTGTGCGCTGTTTGGGGTGACGACTTTGGCAGCCCTGTCAGTTCCAAACCCTCAAACACTACCCACACCGACGGACTCGCCGAGGAGGTCACGCCGTCGTTCGCCTGGACGCCTGCCACATCCGAGGACGAGATCGGGGACAGACTTGCCCACAACACCATCGAAACCCTGGGCAGCTACCTGCTGCGAAGCCCGTCGGCGGAAAACCGTACAATCATCTTTGGCACAGCATCCGACATAACTGTCGGTGTTTACGTCGGTGCCCACCTCCGGAATCCTAGCGTGGCCGAGTCCTTTTTCAACTTCACTTCGAACTCCTTCCTTGCCGCCATCCATGCAGTCGGGATCGCAGACTCAAAGTCGGCCCTGCTCCAGGTCTGCGAGAACCGCACTGCCGACGAGACCTTTGGCCTCATTGCCGCTAGCAGTGCGGACTTTGCTATAGTTCACGATGCTGTCGCCAAGTGGAACAATGGCTCATGCGTCGACACTTCACCATATGCCGCGACTCGTCAGCTCAGCCCTGTCACTCTTTCTGTCGCTCGCCTTAGCGTTCCCCCTACTTCTTCCGCTAGGAACAGCACGCTTCACGAGACGCCATTTCCCCGTAACTCGACCGTCTATCCGCGGCTGAGAGCCCGAGCTGACTGTAGAAGCATCACCGTCAGTGCTGGCAATGGCTGCTGGGATCTGGCCTCCCGCTGCGGCATCTCTCAGCAGGACATTTCTCGCTTCAATTCTGCATCCAACTTTTGCAGCACTCTTCAGCCTGATCAGACGATTTGTTGCTCCTCCGGGACCCTGCCGAAGCCGAAAGAGCCCGAAGGCAACTCTGACGGCACTTGCATCACCGAAAAGGTTGAGGAAGGAGATGACTGTGGTAAGCTCGTCAGCAGATGCGGCCGTGGCCTCACACCTGCACTCTTCTACAAGTACAACGAGGGCAAATCCAACCTGTGCGCCACGCTCCAGCCCGGGCAGCGTGTTTGTTGTACACAGGGAAAGCTCCCAGATATCCGGCCCAAGAAGAACTCGGACGGCACTTGCTTTGCCTACAAGATCCAGCAAGGTGACTTTTGCGCCAAGGTGGCTGCGAACAATGGTTTTACGGTCGAGGAGCTGGAGAAAATAAACAAGAACACATGGGGTATGTCAATGCGTCGATGCCCGTTACCCGGTTCCTTTTCTGGTAATTGCCCTACTGACATGACCAACAGGCTGGAACGGATGCGAAAACGGCTTTTGGCCGGACAACTGGATTTGCCTCAGCGATGGAGAGCCGCCATTTCCCGCCCCGATCGCGAATGCCGTCTGCGGCCCCCAGAAGTTGGGGTCGAAACCAAGCCCTGGCATGACATCGCGGGACTGGGCGAAGCTCAACGAGTGTCCCCTCCGGGCATGCTGCAACGTCGTAAGTCTGCCCCAAACAAAACCAGCAATAGCTGGCAGCCTCTCTGTTCATCATTCTTGCTTGAGCACCGCTGACCAGCTGCCCTCAGTGGGGACAATGCGGCACCACCGCCGACTTCTGCATCGACACCAACACCGGTCCACCGGGCACGGCCAAGAAGGGCAGTTTCGGGTGTATCTCGAACTGCGGGATGAGTCTCATCCGTTCACCTTCTCCGCCTGCTCAGTTCATCAAGTTGGGCTATTTCGAGGCCTGGAGCATGGGCCGAAAATGTCTGCAAATGGATGTCCAGCAGATTGACCCGTCATATACCCACATCCACTTTGCCTTCGCTATGCTTACCGATAAATTCGACGTGTACTTCGAAGACAAGCGCTCACAATTCCAGTTCGAGCGCTTCAAGTCCATGAGAGGCCCCAAGCGTATCATTTCGTTTGGCGGTTGGGAGTTCTCGGCGGAAGCTCCCAACTACCGCATCTTTCGCGAAGGAGTCAAGTCCGCTGAGGCTCGTGACAAGCTGGCCAACAACCTCGTCAAGTTTGTTGTTGACAATGACTTGGATGGCCTTGACATTGACTGGGAGTATCCTGCTGTAAGTTCCAACCTTTCTTTCTTCCAGCCCCTGCATGTGCTTCTAGCTAACGGCTTCGTTCTACGTCAGGCCCCGAACTTGGGCGAGGGAGTACCGAAAGGAGACGATTCGGAGTCCCTCAACTACTTGCTACTGCTCGCCAACATCCGGAAAAGGCTACCAATGACCAAATCACTATCCATCGCCGCCCCCGCCTCCTACTGGTATCTCAAACAGTTTCTGATCAGGGAAATGTCATTCCTCCTCGACTACATCGTTTACATGACCTACGACCTCCACGGACAGTGGGACGCTGGTAACCAATGGGCAACACCGGGCTGCCCTACCGGCAACTGCCTTCGAAGCCACGTTAACCGCACCCTTACCATGAACGCGCTGGTATGTCCGAGAGCTTGCTAATGTGGCAAGACGTCTCCCTTTGCATTATTTCTCATTTCTCGAAAAACGACTTTTCCTCCAAATGCCATTCCTGTTAACTGACCCTCCTCGCGCCCGTAGACCATGATTACCAAAGCTGGTGTGCCATCCAACAAGATCCTAGTGGGAGTCAGCAGCTACGGACGCAGTTTCAGAATGGCAGACCCTGGTTGCGCCGGGCCCGACTGCTTTTACCTCGGAAACAGACGCAACTCCGAGGCTCGACAGGGCCGATGCACCGGCACGGCTGGTTACATCAGCAATGCCGAGATGAGCGAGATTGGAAGCGCGAAGCTCTCATACGACAGAGACAGCGACTCCAACATCCTTCAAGACGGCGATCTTTGGGTAGGGTACATGGATGATAAGGTCAAAGCCGAACGCACACGGATCTACAAGGCCTACAACTTTGGTGGGACCATTGACTGGGCCGTTGACCTTCAGGAGTTCCATCCCAGCCCGCCCAGCTACAGCGGCGTCTTCAAGGAGACAGCCTTGACTTGGGCCCAAGTTGTCGATAATGTCAACAGGGGAGACCATGCTGGCTGCAACAGGGCGGTGAGGACCGGCAGTTGGCTTGGAAAACAGTGCAGCAAACATCCTACGGACAACACCAATCACCCAGTATCGGACTGGCAAAATATTTTGCCGGCGGATAGATGGGACCAGATGGACTGCGGATCGGCCTGGAAGGATGCAATTCTTGCCGCCGATACGTGCTATGAAGGCCAAGTCTGGACTCTCGCGATAGCCTCGTTTTTCCATTTCAACCGGGGCGACGTAAGTTATCCAAAACCTTTGCTGACGAGGCAATTTCCTTTGCTAACATACATTATCCACAGAAATGTAACGATATGGCACCAGCCAATGATTGTATTGTAGCGGCATGTGAAACGTACAACTCTGATAAAACACATGTGGACCACCAAACCGGAGCCTGCGGATACGAAATCTGGAACTCAATCGTGCAGGTTCACTCGGTAAGGTTCTCCCAGCACTTCGCAAGAACAGTGGGTTTTTGGGAGCAAGTTAGCTAATGAACGCCCGCTACGCGCAGCTCCTTCGAAACTTTCACGCGGCTATCAAGTCGGCTGCTGAGAATCTTTCCAGAGATTACAATAAGGAAGCGTTTATTGCCGCATTTGCTCCAAAAAGGGCAGATGGCTCGGAGCTTGTCGGCCTTTTGCTAGATATGCTACAGATTCCGATGGGCATGGCCGGGGGCAAACTATTGTCATCTGGTAAGTACCCTGTGCCCCCAGTTACAGTCGTTGCGAGCTAACAACAATGGGCCAGCATTCCTGAACAGCCGCGTCTTTGGCGGTAGCACTTCAGGAGGGGGAGGCCTGCTGCAGGATGTGGTAGGCGCACTCGCCGGCCTGGGCTGGGATCAAGCCAAGTCTCAAATTAAGTGGGTTACGCATCTCTGGACTACCTTTTCAATGCTAGACAACTAACATCTTTGACACGAAACCAGGGACGCAACTGGCAAGAGCAAGGAAGTAACATTCAGCTCGGTTTTCGATCTAATGATCAAAAGTTGGACAGACCAAATGGACCACATGGTGAAGACGTTGTTCAATGGGGAGCCTAAAAACGTTGAGCTATTGGGGAAACTCATCGACAAGGGCAGAATGATTAAAGGCAAAAACCTTGGCACAGAGACCTTGTCCAAGTCTTTCCAGGACCAGACTGATCAGTGGGTCCTCGAGAAGCGGCTAGAGCGGCCCTTCTATCTGGCTGCCATTCCGGCGGCCTGGAAGGCTAACGGCATGAACCCCGTCCTGGTCGACTTCGGCCCCAGCTGCGAGATCGAGGCGTCGAGGTATTACGCCGTGGACTGGCGGAAGTACAACCCAGGCTGGCGGTGTCCTGCAGGGCGCTCCTACCACCTCGCCTCTGTACGCGATGGGCCTCCGCAAGTTTGTGGGGCGCCGTACCCGGGCAACTCGTGCCCCCCCGTGCTGCAGTGGACCCTCGACATGTTGGACGGCATCGAGGAGCTTCCTGACGAGCACGAGCGGGAATCCTGGGGTGGCGTAACTGTAACAATGCTGATTGAGGGGTAAGCTCTTGGTCCCTGCGTCGTGGAGGATGCCACGAGCGTCGTGCGCTCAGAAGGGGAAAAAAAGAAAGAAAAGACAGCACGGCTAACACGTTGATAGAGCGGTCGCGACCTTCGAGGCGAATGGCGGCAAGAACATCATGGATGCGGAGAAGCAGCCGCTGCAGGACCCCGTTTACGATGCAGAGCAGGCGGCAAAGGGCGACGGCGTGGACACGAAGCGACCCGGATTCGTCCGCATCCCGATCTGCGGGCCGGACGAGATCAAGCGGAACCTCGACAAGGGCAAGGGCCGCCACCTGAAACCGGAGAATTACCCTTGCGACCCGTGAGCTGGAGGCAAGGCCGCGACGGCGCATGAGAGACGAGATTTGCCCACAGGCAAGATAGATGTAACCTCTCCTTTGTGCTCACGGATGCCTATCTGGTTTTTCATTTGCGCTGCCTGGACCAATTATCCGCTCGCTCGATGTTCCGAGATAAGCGCGCAGAAAGGAGGTTGCGGCTGGCACTGGTCGCCAACTTGGGTCGTGTCTAGAATTTCACTTTGTTTCAATCAGCCTGCCAGTGAATGGCGACGACCCAGCAAAGCGGTAGCCACAAAGCTTGATAAATTATTTATCCCCGCTTCCGCCAAAAATGGTGATTTCCACCATTCTGTTGTCCTTTGACCCTAATCGGCAGCCCGCTAGGCCATCCCTTGCCCGAGACACGTCGTAGTGACCCACTGCCGATAAGCCAAAACGAGTCAAGCATCGGTAGCGCCGCCTGTCAAACTGGGGATGGCTTCTAATGCTAGGGATGGCCGCTCGGCTCCATCCGGTCCACCGAGGACGACATCGCCGGTCCTTCGGCGCGGGGTGAAGGCTGATTACGGGGGAAGGAGTCGGCTTTCTTGTCTACCGGTGCTTTCGTGGTCACTGGTTCTGCCGAAGTGCGTAGGTTCTCAAAGGGAAAAGAAAGAACCTTTCAGCCTACGGCCCCTGCTGGCCGCGCCGTGCTATTGGCTCGCGAGGTGGGCAGGTAGGCTCCTCTCCACGGCCTGGCCCCTGCCGGCAGCGGATAAGGGACCATTCATTTGGCACCGCAGCACCATTTTCGTTCCTCTCTTCACCGAACATTTTCCTGAGTCTTCTAGTCTCCTTGGTCTCCTTTGCCGAGGCCACAAAGCCTGGGCGTCGTCCTCGACGAGGCCCTGCGGTTCGGGCCTCCGGGCCCCGGAGCGTTTCCCCGCGTGGTCCCCGACGGCGGCAGGGTCGTGTGCGGCCGCTTCGTGCCCGACGGGTGCGCCGTCGGCGTACACCACCTGTCGGCCAGCCGGTCGGCGGGCAACTTTGCGGACCCGGACGCCTTCAGGCCCGAGAGGTGGCTGCCGTCGCACCCGCGCCACGCGCCCTACGCGTCCGACGACAGGACCGCGGCACAGCCCTTCTCGCACGGGCCCAGGAACTGCATCGGCAAGAAGTGAGCTTCCCCTCTGGGCTGTGATCTTTTTTCTTCCCTTATGCTTGTGGAGCCAAGGCAAGAAGACACTGACAAGGTTCGACACAGCCTGGCCATGGCCGAGATCCGCATCATCCTGGCCCGTATGGTTTGGAACGTTGACATGAGGTTACACCCGGACTATGTCGGCTGGCTCGCAAAGCAGGAGATGTTCACGACGTGGCACAAGACCCCGCTCAATGTTCAGCTAAGCTGCAGGCAGAAGTGAAGATCTGTCAGGGGAGTTTCGGTCCGACTCCTCGTGAGCCGTGTCCATCTCAAAATGGCGAGAGAAGCGAAGATCTCCAGGGGTAGCGCTGGGCTGGAGAGCGAGGCTCGGACTTTTGCAACGCAGATAGCATGGTACACTTTGGCGTTCGGACATGGTGGCAGACCTCGCTGAGATAGGCCGATCTTTGGCTTGCGTCAATTCATCCACCGTCCCCTTCCTTCAATCGTGACAAGCCATGGACGGGTAGTTGGAAAGGAACAGGAGGCCGGCAAGAACACCAGCCAAGCAAGCAAGCTTCTTTCGCCGGGCTTCGACTTTCCGACTGGCCAGGCGGCCATCTCGTTTCTTTGGCATAGTAGATCTGGTGAGGCCCCCACGGGTCTTTGCCTGTAAACTGCGGGATTGGCTCTTTGGCCCACCCGCGGTGGTCGGCAGGTGCAGCCGGCGCTCTAGAACTGCCAGCGTGGACATGTGGACAGGGCGGGCGCTATCTTTTCTCGCCCAAGTCATTGACGTCAGAATGGAACCGGCATGGCACCACAAGCGGGAAGGACGCGGCACAAAGGTTCCGGCTTTCGGTGCTGATTCCGGCTTTCACTGAGCGCGTATCAGGGGGGTCGTTGCCTGGAGTGCTGGAGGCAGGGGATGCTTGGCGCAGGTGCAGATCCCCACGCTTGCATTGGTGGATGAGCCGCATTAGCGCACGCTTATTCCCGCAACGCCGCAGCCGTCGATCGGCAGTCGGCACAGAGTCCGAGGCCCTCGCTTTCACGCAAACGACACACAACGTTCCTATTTGCCCCTTCGACCCATACCGGTCCGTTAGCTCTTTTGGTCGCAGGAAACTAGGCGCCCTAAGGCTGAGCCAAACTTCTGGGGTTTCGCCAGCCCTGTTCTGGGCATATGTGGCCGCCGGGTGCTCCACCACGTCAGCCTCAAGCATTCACATTTGAGACGTATTCTTTTGCACCGCCAAAAAAAAGTCCGAGACTTCATAGTCCGATATGATCTTCATCCTGTTTGACTCCCCCCTGCGGCTAGGCTTGGCAGTAGGCCACCGCGTATAGCGCACCATCATTTGTCGTTCCATGGCCAATGGGAAGCCTTTTCTGTGCCACTGAACAGAAACTCATGCTACTGCTCAACACCTGCAGAAACGGATGGATGGCTGCGCATATGACGCCCACATCACGGTAATATCATGGCTGTACCGCATGGCCTTCAATGAAGGGAGACGAGTATTACCCCTAACGGGAAGAACAGTGGCAGAGGCATGAGAGAGGAAGGTCATGAACAGACGGAAAGCTTAGAGTCGACAGGACATGCAATATCTCCACAATTACCACCTAAAAGCTGGCGATCACATCCCCACATTTGAAAATACCCTACAACGCTAGGATGATTCACCGCTAACGGATGATAGTCTCGGTTGTTGGCCCCCGCCCGGAGTTTTGAGTTCACCAAATCGAAAGGAAACACGGACGGAGAGTATGTGCTCTAGTCGTTAGTGCTGAGATCCCTTGTCAAACACCCAAACGAGCGGCGCCAATCGAGGCATGAGGATACCTCGCGGGGCCCGCAGTGGTGCTGATCAATGACCAGAAACTGTGAATCCTTGGGTTGCTGATCGGCGGTCTTCGTGGATCACCATGACAGGCTGGAGCATTGAGTGTGCGTCCAGGAACCGCAAGTCCGACAGAAGGACTCCAAGCACTCTGGAGACAAGGAAGCCGCTTTTCCCGCTTATAAAAAGCCAGAGACGGCCTCTCGAACAACCTCAAATCTTTTCTTTTCTCCCAGATCACAGCAACCCTGAGAGAAACCATCACACTTCACCCACAGATCCCTCGTTCTTCTCGATCAAAAAAAACCCAACCCAACCGCCACCATGCAGTTCCTCGCCGCCCTCACTATCCTCGCCGCTGGCGTCCTCGCCGTCGCCACGCCCGACAATCTCCAGAAGCGCGCCAACTGTAATGAGGTACTGCCTGCGTGCGCTGAGGGGCATATCGTCGGCCAGCAGGCCTGCCCCTGTCCCGGGCAACATAACATCTGTGACCTGTGGGCCTGCGCCAACAACCGCCCGGTGAGTAACATCCAGGGGCAGTCTCTCCTCCACGATGTTTGGAATAACCGCCGTGCTTACCAGAACGGTTTTGCACACAGATGGCTTGCGGCCAGGATGGTACCGGCTGCGTCTGGGTTGGCTAAATCCGAGTCGACCTTGCCAGTTGGAAACTATCAAAGGTGAGAAAACGCGGTCCCCCATATTCCCCCCCTCTTTTGGAAGAGGAAGTAGGAGTTAACCTTTTTTAATGCGCCACACGAAGACACGTTATCGTTGGCGCCACCGGGTAGCTCCCAGTTTGCGCTTCGTTAGTGTGTGGGGATTTTCTTCTTTTGTAGCGGGAAACTTTTGGTGATGTTGTTTTGGACGCTGTAGCAGCCGTGGCTAAGCGACTAGCCACTCTTTTTGAGCTAATAAACTTTTTGGGCCCAATACTCCACTCTTCTGGCGGAGCAACGCTTGGCAACAGGCCGCCATAAAATATGTTCTTCGAATAGCAAACATGCGCTGCTTAAATGACGAAGAAAGTCCTTAAAACTAACTTGCATTATATAAAGCTCTGTTGAAAGCTGCCCAAAACAGTTTCTAAAACACCCGGCATCTTTCTTTTAAAGCCCTACATTAGAAGCCTTTGGTTTCGATAGCGACTAATGGCAAGAGCAGGAGGGAGAGAGGCCCAACAATTGAACATGGCGAGATTGCCGTTGGATCGGCTGAAGGGTTTTTCTTGTGAAAGAAAGATGTTGCCTATCCATCGGGATGTTCAATTCAAATTGTATCATGTTGGATAAAGCCATAATTACAGCCGGGGTTTTCCAACAGCCCTCTTCTCACGTCGGCATATGTCCCCTCAGTGCAACCCCTCCACATACGCTTTCAGATCCAGGTTCTGCTGCTCAAACAGCCTCTGCAGCATCGGCTTGAGCGCGGCGATGGCCCCAGTAGCCAGGCCGGCGTAGTACGGCTCGTAGGAGATGGACATTGTCGTCCCGTCCCCCAGGTCCGCGAGGATGGTCGGGTGCTCGGCGCGGTGGAGGACGCCGTCGGCACCGTCGTCGGACCGCCACGCTACCATTCGACCCCCGCTTCCGTCCGGCAGCTCCGCCTCCATGGCGGTAACGATCTCGATGCTGGTGCTGTTGACGAGCGGCAGGATCCCCCACGTCGTGAAGGTGGTCGCGGCCCCAATGTAAAGTCTGATATCTTGCATTGTTACTTGGCATAATCCGCTTAATAGTAACGTGGCTAGTTCGTCCTCGGACGGATTTCGATCTCTAATTTAAGCTCCTGTCCCTAGCGATGTGGTAATCATCATATTTAAAGGACTGGTCTTTCGTTTGTGCAGGGTACTAGCTGGAAACCAATAACGGTGCGTACACGTCGGCGTACAGCTTCATAAGCTCGTCGGGCAAACAGTCAATGCAGCGTTTCAAATCCGTAACCATCTCATCCAGGCAGGAAGCTTCCGTAATCGTTTTCGCCATAAGACGAAGCCAAAGAAAAAGCAAGCCTGGCCGCAAGCCAATCCTCGATCTCCTGTATAGTTGGGAGGTTCTCGTTGCAAAACTTGACCATGCCGCTTGCCTTTTTTCACCTCAAAACTCGAGCGTAGTAGGATGTCGATAAGGTAGTCCGACAGTGTGGTAATATTGCCCTCAGAGTCGAAAGTCGGCTTTGTTGAGGACGTCGAGGTGAGGTATGTGTGGGCAATTACTTAGTCGGTCCACGATTGAAGGGTAAGGTCGCGCACTGAGGCACAGTTTGACTTTCCCTTCCAACCCCAGGGGTTTTCCTAAGGTATCGATGACCTCCATAAGCTTAAGGAGGCCGTCGGCTTCAAGTACCTCGTCAAGTCCGTCCACGAATACGGCGATGGATCTTGGATAATTTACCATAACATCCAGAAGCATAGACTGTAGGTCCTGTTGAGACCAATCCATTGCCGCCTCCGTGACGGGGATCGTGGGATCCTTTCGAAGTATGCAAATGAGCGATATCTCGCTCTTGGTAAGCAACTGGTAAAGCAGGGAGCATAAGAGGCCTTTGATACTCCGCTCCATCTGGGTGCCGTTCAACCAAAAGAAATGCGAGACGACGATGGCTCCAGGGCTCCAGATGCCCAGGAGACTCTGCGTCTGTTCATGTTGGGCAAGATATTTCATCAGCGTCGTTTTCCCTGACCCTGGGTTGCCAACGATCCAGTATCTCGGTTCCGTAGATCTAAGCCAGTCGGAGAAGCTGTTCCAGGAAGCACTCTCAACGCCTTTTCCCGACTCGGTGCCATCGGTCTCAGAGTCGGTGGGTTGGCGCACGACATCTGATAAGGGATTGGAAGAGCTATCAAAGTCGGCTGTGGGATGTTTTGCCACCATCGTATGCTGGTAGCCATGGCTCCCATGATTGAAAATCCATTCCAAGGTCCCAGCATGCGGTGGGCGGACCTGGCTGCTGCGGTCATCGACCATGAGGCTGCGCAGGAGCCGCCCCCGCTGGGCGTCTTGCCAAGCCTCTGCTTTTTGTTCGATGGGGCTTCTAAGAACGGAAGATATGTACTCCATCAGCGATGCCTTCAGTTCTGTTGTCTTTTGCGTCGTGTGCGCTTCGCCTGCTTCCACGCTCTCCCTGGTTTCTGCGGCGATACGCTCTCCCGTCGGCAAGGCTTGTGCAAACACCGGCGCGGTGACAGCGGCCTCCTTCTTGCAGTACTCGTCGAGAAAAGATCGGAGGTTCGCATCTATCCGGGGCCTCTCGCTGCGTACTGTTGTTAGCAGTTGTCATCCAACCTGGCTACAAGCGCCAACGTACTAGATACACGTCAGAAGCCCCGTATGCAGCAGGCTCTCGGCTTCTCGCAGCTCACGCTCCAGTCTCGTGAGGCACAGCCTTATCCTCGCCGTCATGTCCGTGCGCTTAAGGAGGCTGGGCTCCCCGCCCAAGTCCCGCGCGACGCGTACACACATTTCTGCCATGTCTAGCAACTGCTTATGTCGAGGGGCCGGTTTGGATGGAGCGCTTGCACTCGTACCGACGCTCGTCGCTGCTGTCGCGGTCGTGGTTGTGGTCGCGTGGCGCCGAATCTGGTCGTAAAGGGGGGCTAGCATTTCGACAAGGGGGGCTAGCATCTCGGCAATGACTAGGAAAGCGAACAAGTCGGGCTGGTGGTCTACCCGCTCCATATCATAGATAATCCTGCGCCCGACCTTGATGAACATCCAAATGTTGTAGGCGAGGCCGAGCGTCGCAATCAGTTCGAGGTCGTCCGGGAGGCTACCACTCTGCGAGGTAATGTCGCTGCCATCATCATCGTACAAATCCCACTTAAAAGGATTTGTGCATTCGTCGTCCCGGGAGCCGTTGTCCGGAAGGTTAACACTCTGTGAGTTGGCTTCGCTGCCATCGCCTTCGTCATCACCGTCGACATGCGGTAAGGAAAACAAGGCAACGCGCTCGAGGTGCAAGGCGATGTGTTTGTGCAGTTCGCTGGCCGCCGAAAAGTTGCAGATCGGACAGCGCCTGTCGGGAGGCACGAGACTCGACTCGCCAACGTGCCTTCCAGCCCCGTGACAGGCTGCGAGGTGGGCCTGATACTCTTCCACGCTCGAAAATGACAGGCCGTCGTGTTCCAAACAACGCCATGCTGCGAAGTGATTTGTGGTTTCATGCTGGATCCAGTCTTCCCGAGTATCGTAGAGCTGGTCCGGGTTTCTGCAGGCCTCGTAGGTGCAAACATATGGCCGCAGGTCGCGTATTAGGTGAGCCCTGTAATGGGGATTTAAGTACTAGCACCGCTGCGGGAATGGACATTGGCATAAAATAAGGAGCTTACCTCCATGCCTTTGTGCTTAGGGATGTAGCGGGGCACAAGGTGAAGCAATACGGGCACTCGAAGTTCTTTTCGCCTTGTTTCCGCTTTGGAGGCGGCGGGAAGTCGACATCCTCAACGCCGGGATGGGAGGATGGGGCGTACTCTGATTGTGAGACCGCGGACCGATCATCCCAGATCGCGAGCTGCGTCATTTGTATCTGTAGGCATGTGGCGGTTGTGACTGATGCCACGGGCATCAGGACGGAGTCCAACCCGCCTGCAGATCCAAGTCCGAGATTTTCCAAGGCTACCATGGCCGAAGTGGTGGTCACCCTTGCATGCTGCGCAACGCTCTGTGTGTGGAGCTGGAGCTTCTCTCTGTGGTGCGTCCAATATGCGAACTGCCGCCTGCGTCGAATGTTTGCCCGTGCTAGTCGATCGACAAGAAACGACTCGGTCCCGTCCGAAACACCACTGCGATAAACGGAAAGCACCGACCGTATTGGTTCCCAAACCACATCATCTGGGCTTGACCCGGGGTCGAGGTTCGCAGGGGAGGGAGGGGGCTCATTGATAGATGCGTCTCGGGTTGCATTGTCCTTGTGGTACTGGAGAAATAATGAGCTGACGTAGTCGCGATCGAATGGCTCGGCCTCTTTCAAAAAGTCCCGCTTGGACTCGGGGTCGATCTTCTGATAGACTTGGGCTTTCGAGGAGGCAAATCTCGTGCTCGGGCTGCGAATCCGGGTAGACAGCTTGTAAAGGCGGTCGATTGGATCACGCACGCTGTCAAGCAAAAGGTCGATGTCCGAGTCGGCTTCGGCTGGTGTCTGTGCAGTGGGGGAGACATCTAACGTCCAGTCGCCGTCAGAGTCGTCGGGATTGTCGGCATCATGAGGGCTCTCGTCGTCAAAAGCGCCACTGCAATATTGGAGCACTGTGTGCCAGTTCGATTACGTTAATTCGAAGCAGTGCAGGCGGGCAAACAAACGACGAAAGCCTGACCTTGATCCAGAGAATCCACGAGGTCCGTCATGAAGCTGGCGAAGGTTTTTTTCAGGGTGGCAGAGTCTCTGATGCGATAATCCAGCGACCCGTGCCCTGGGACGAACAATCCCATATTTATTGCCCATAACTCGAACCGGTCCGATTCTGCTGCGAATTGGGTGCGCGGCCATTCCCTGTGCTTTGCATCTCCAGCCTGGCGATCGAGGGCGTCAACCTCACCAAACAGACGCCTGATGTCGAAGCCAACCCTCGAGAGCGTCGGAGCCGGCATGTCTCTGATGGCTTCCGATTTGTAAACAGGGGAGATGGTGCCAGGAGAGCAAAAGCCTGTCGCAGCCCGTTTACGGTGGGTTATTTTGCGCTTTGATGGGAAGCAGGAATCGGGAAGGAAGCGGAGGCGGGGAGGGATCGCTCGCCATCCAACTCTAGCAAAAATGAGAGCCTGCTCCGGAAGCCTGCGTGAGCTGCAGCATGCATACGAACCCCGCCTTCTTGAATTTACCCGTGTGATAGGGTGATAATACCGGGCACGAAAGACAGTGCCGTAGGGGGTCAGGCTGAGGAGGGGTTTTTTGGGGTTTTGGTGCCCAGCCACCGGACAACATCGGCCTTATGCGTCGCGAGGGCTGTGAGGCCCGCATTCTCCTCCCAACCCTACCGCCATGTCTGGATTCGAAGTTGTCGGTGTTGTCCTAGCCGTGCTGCCCATCCTCGTCGCCGCGCTTGACGCGCCTGTGATTCCGAGGACCCTCGCGGCGTTTCGGAAGCGCGCCTTCGTCGCCAAGCTCGCGCGCGCCCTCCTGCTCCAGAAACAAACCATCGCCGAGAACATCAAGTCCATCGCTAGCCTTAGCGGCTGTGACGATGTCTGGCTTGTCGACGACGACCCCTTCACGTATCTTCTCTCCAAGCAGGTCCAAGAACAAATCCGAGACTATCTGGGGGAGGAGAACTACGCTGCCTTGAGCGGGGTGATGACCGACAGCCACCAAACTCTGGAAAGGATAGCTGGAAGTATCGAAGGGCTGCTGCCCGGTGGCGAGGTTAGCTGGGGCCAGCCATGTTAATATTGTTATTCACAACGCAATCTTGCTGACGCTGTGACTTGAACGAACCAGAGTACCTCGAACAAGCTGCGCGACATCATTGCCACCAACGATAATGCAAAAGGGAAACCAGACATCCGATCCCGAATCAAGGTGCTGTTCAAAGGACCGGATCTCACCGCAGCGGTAAAGGATCTCGACGATACGACGGCTCAAATCGACCGATTTGCGAGAGTTCTTGTGTCTAACCAGCACAGCGCGACAAGCATACCGTCCAGGAAGGCCACAAACCTTGCAAGGGCTTTGCGGCGGATCCGGGATCTCGCCGGAAAGGTACCTGCCGCTCTCAATCGCGGCTTCACATCGGGATGCCACACACAACATGAAGCAAACCTGTTTCTGGAGGACCGACTGTCGACGGCCGCTGGCATCTTGGATCACGGCCGGATGCGGACCCAGTCCGACCCGCTGATGGACTTCCGCCTTGCAATTGCTACCCGGCATCCCACCGGACTGTCGTGGGCTTATGAGACGGCGGTGCACGTTTTCAGGGAGGAGGACGATGAGTGCAAACGGCCGGCCCTTCCCGAATCCCCGGATCCCAGTCGACACGGGACCCCGTCCATCCAAGTCGTCGCGTTTGGGGCATCGCTGAACCCGCCCCGGATCCCGCCGGACATCCTCCACATCGAGAGTATCTGCGGCGTGCTCGAGGCCCCAAGCAGATTCGGGGTGCCCCAGGGCGCCTGCTTCGTCCTGACGCGCCAGCAACGCATCGGTGTGTACTGCCGCCGCAACAGGGCCGCGGCCACTGCCTTTCCTAAGGTCAGCGGAAACAAGATCTCGCTCGGGGCGCTCCTGTCCGCGGCCCACAAGGCCCCTCTCAAATTCCGCATGCTGCTTGCCCTCCGGCTGGCATCCAACCTCCTCCAGCTGTCCCAGACCCACTGGCTGCAGAAGCCCTGGTCCAAACACGAGCTCTACTTCCCCGTCCGCCCGCTCCCGCAGGGGGGAGCCAAGGGACTTGCCTCTTCCCCCGCCCACGAAGCACCCGACTTCAACCAGCCCTTCATCTCCCTCGCCTTGGAAACCAGCGGCCCAGCCCCCACCTGCCCGGGTGGTGCCATCGACGCCAGAGCCACACTCCTAGAGCTGGGAATCCTTCTCCTCGAGATCTGGCACCAATCTCCCTTTGAAGCCCGCCCGGCCGCAACAGGAGGCGGGTACTACCAGCGCCTGGCGGCGGCGCTGGAATGGCTGGACGATACGGCCGACGTGGACCCCATGCCGGAGCTGTATGACCGTGCGACGTCGTTATGCATTCAGGGTGTGATTGGGGGGCAGTCGAAGCTGGCGGATTGGGAGGATATGAGGTTTTGGGCAGGCATGTGTGTGGATGTAATTGAGCCGTTGGAAAGGGGGTGTCAGGTGTGGCGGAGGGAGAGTTAATTACGGGTTTGTATTGTCTTGGTAGCTGGGACTGTAGCTGTAGTAACAACGAAGTCGAGCGTGCAAGCTGGGCTACGGGCTGTGGCCTAAAATGAACATTACAGCTTAATAATAACAGACCCGTCTGGCTGGACGAGCCCCTTTATTCCATATCTGGCCGTGTACAACGTCCACGTGAGGAAGCCGTGCAGCATCATCTCGAGCGAGGAAGCAAACTTGGCCGCGGACTCGGCGTGACCAGGAGCGGCGTCGTGTTTGGCCTGTCGGCGGATCTCGTCCGCGGCTTCGACGGTGGCACGCGTCGTTTCCTCGAACTTGGCCACCGCCTCGGCCAGGATCTGCTGCGCGTGGTCGCCCCCTGCCACGTCCGCCTCGGCGAGGGCGACAACGAACATGTTTGTGAGAGTGCCGTCGGTCTGTCATTGTGCCGGCGCGAGCGAGGCGTTAGCAAGCGCCTTTTAACCAATGGGGAGGGATGCTACGTGTATGTTTGTAGCCACAAGTTTCTGTGAGGGCATGCGGCGCAACATACCAACTCCTTTTTTAAGGAAAAGATGTCGTTCGAACTAGAAGCAAACCCCCAATGTCAGCCGCTTGGGATATTTTCCACGGCAAAGTGGTTGCAGAGATTTTTAAAAGGTTAGAATCATGGCGCCTATACATGAGCACGTTCTTGTTGAAATCGTCCAGCATGATGTTAAACTGGCTCTGGATCGGCTCTGATAGGTCGGACATGCTGACAGGAGCGTTGTTACCGCACTTCATGCTGGAGCGCGCTCAAAAGTTCTTCTGGTCAGCGAGCACTCCTTTAAAGTGGCAATGGTGTAGGTATGAAGACAAGGGTGGCGACGAGGACGAGTGCAAATCAGTGGCTGTTGCGAGGGGTTCGGGTATGATGGAAGCGAAAAATAAAAGTCCCCTCACACAGCAAGGGCGGCGTGGATGAGCGCGCCGCCGCCATAGTACCGTATACGCCAGTAGTCCTCCAGGCTCGGGAACCGGCCCGAGAGGCGGTGGGCCTGCTCGACGGCGGTGGCGGCGGCGAAGTTGCAGATCTGCTCCCAGAAGCGGCGGATCTCGCCCTCGTCGCACCGCGCGCGCAACTCGCGGCCCATGAAGACGTAGAGGCCCGAGGCCGGCGTGGGCGGGACCAGCTCGCCGCGCGCGTCGGTCCCGAGGTTCTCGCGGCAGCGGCAGCGGCCGCCAGCGGCCAGGGCGGCGTCCTCGGCCGGGTCCTCGTGGATGCCGAGGTGGTGGCCGATGTACCGCAGGGACTGGGCGCGGTAGGCGTTGCCGAGGTTCAGGTCGGAGGCGATGGTAGGCTGCGGCGCTGCCGGGCTGGTGCCGTCGCCGTTGGGGTCCACCTGGAGCTCTGGGAGCGCCCTGTCGACCTCGTCGTCCCAGAGGAAGATCCAGACGCTGTAGTGCGCGAAGATGAGGAGGACATCCCATTCTGCGACGGGGAAAAGTCTGAATGATGGTTTAATGGTGGGGCATGGTTAACTGGAATGCTCATGCTATTCCCTTTTGTCCACTCTAACCTTGTGGATGCGTCCAGTATGTGGTGAATAGGGTGGACGGTATAACTCACGCGCAAGTCAGGTGGGCCACATCGATGCCTTTGGCCTTTCTAAGGGCCTTTGGATCTTGTATCACGCTCTCTAGGATCCCTCCCACCTTCGGGACCAGCCGAGCGTAGTGTCGGTTGAAGCCTGAAGGCACGTCCGAGTACCATGGAGAAGGGTCTGGCACATGGAGGGTGCGGCCTTTCAGCTTGGCCAGGGCCTTCAAGCCCACATCGGGAATGAGATCGATAGTCATGGCGAGGGAGGACGTGCAGGTATTCTCGTCAGTTGAGGGTATATAGGAAGAGAGGATGGGAGCGAAGACTGGTGCAAGAGCGGGAGAAGTGAAGGGAGGTGTTTATGTGGGTAGGTAGGCAGGCTGGCAGTGTTGTCTACTGCATTAATATTCTTCACAAGCGCGTGGAGCAGGGCAGAGCCAATAAGCAGTACGCAGAGGGTCCTCCTGTGGACTGATATCAACCCCTTTATGTCGACGAACAGCTACCTTCCATCGCTGTCCTCCCACCCGCTCATTCGGATCCTGTTAAGCGGTGTCGGACCAGAACCAGCGATTCATCCGGCCCCGGGGTAGCATGCATGGTGCTTAGGCGGGGAGCACAGGTCGACATATCCAATGCCTGTTGGCTTCCAGCTCGCTTGAAGAAACCCTGCCCTCGCTGCAACAGAGGTGGGCAGCAAGGTAACGGCGATGTGGGCAGCCCAGATAGGGAGGAGGTGACGGACGGGCCGGGATCACGATCTCTCACCGTCTGTTTCAAGGGGCGGTATTCACGAAAAATGAATGGGGTGAGCGTGGTGTGCCATGAGTAAGCACGTCATCCTCGAGCCCGATAAGTTGAGTGATTTGACGGGCCATTATCACCCTATTTGCAGGGTAGGCTTACTAGATCCAGCAGTGTAACTGGAGTTTGCCGGCGAGGCCGGCCGGCATCACGGACAAAAGGGGCCCGCGGGCAAAGTGACCACACGCCCCATCAAGCCGCTTGGCAGATGTGGGTGTCTCTATAAGCGCTAGTGCAACGCTTAGATGCGACGTTGGTGCTTTTGCCGCTGTCGCCCCTGATGTGACGCCCGGGAAACAAAGAACCAGAAGAAAATCGGGACGCCAAAGGATGGAGCAATCCAGCCCCTGGGCTGGCATACTGGGCTTATTGATGAACATCTGACGATCCCTATACGATACTCCCAGCTCAAAGAGTCGGAGAAACAGATGCCGTGTGGGCCTCTCAAGGTGCCTCCTCCTTGATGTGCCTGCCGGGCGGCTTGCGGATTTGATCAGTCCGTTGGTGGCTGCGGCCCGCTGCGTGGTGAAATGCATCGTGCAGCCTCGCACCGCCGACGAGGTGTCCAAACCCGTGACGGCGCTGGCAGGCGCGGGCGTCAAGTTCGCCGTCCGCAGCGGCGGGCACACCTGCTTTGGCGGCGGCAACGGCACCGAGGACGGCGTGACGGTCGACCTGGGACTCAAGGCCGACACGACGGCGCGCGACGACCCCGGCGGGGCAAAGGTGGCGTCGATCAGCCCCGGCGCCAAGTGGCACGACGTCTACGACGCGCTGGGGCCGCGCGGGCTGACGGTGGCGGGCGGGCGCGACGGCGCGGGGGGCTGGTGGCGGGCGGCGGCAACAGCTTCTTCACGTCGCGCTGCGGCATGGTCTGTGACAACGTCGTCAACTTCCAAGTCGTGCTGGCCGACGGGCGCGTCGTTGAAGCGAACAAGCACGAGAACGCAGACCACGTCGAGGAGAACCCCGACAGCTCCTTCGCCGGCGTGTGGACGTACACCCCGCAGGCCAAGGACGTAACCATCTATTGCCTGCTCACAAATCTCCACGGCTCCAAAGATCAGAAGGCGTTTGAGAAGTTTAGCGCCTTCGGCCCGAGCGACGAGACGGGCGAGGCCAAGATTTCGGCCTTTGTGCGCCAGATCTCGCTTCCTCCCGGCCAGCAGTAAGTTCTTATTGGCCTTCTCCTACACCACAGCCTCAAGGTTTGGGGAGCACCCCCTCGACCCACACGCAGAACCCGCCAGCGAGATCTGGTTCACGCTCACGTTCAAGACGACCTCCGCATGGTCAACAAACTCCTCGCGGGCCACGAGGCCATGGTCGAGAAGCTCAAGGGAATCATGCCCGACGGCAACTTCACGACGCAGTGTGTCCTGCAGCCGCTGCCGGCCCTCTTCGCGCGCCACTCGGTCGAGCGCGGCGGCAACGTGCTCGGGCGGGACCAGGTGACCGGCAATGCCGTCCTCTGGCTCGGGACCGTATCGGCCCCGACCAGGGAGCTCGGCGACGCTGCGCACGGGCTGCTGCGCGCATACGCGACCGAGACCGAGGCCCACGCGCGCGAGCTGGGACTCGATGTGCCACTACGCAGACCCGTCCCAGCAGGTGCTGGCGACGTAAGGCGCCGCCAATGTCGAGAAGATGAAGGCCGCGGCAACCAAGTACGACCCCAACGGAGCTTTCCAGACCCTTATGCCCGGCGGCTTCAAGATATCCAAGGTCTAGTTTGGAGGTTTCCCTTAGCCTAGAGGAATGCTACGTGTGGTAATGCGAACGCCGTTACGGACACTAGTTTGATGATGTCGGGTACAAATACGGCGCAATCAAGGAAGGCTCTTGATGAAGACGTGCAAGCCATGAGTGTAACGCCTCGGGTGATCACTGCAGCAGTTATCGCTCCGTTTAGTGGCCTTCGATCTTGATCCTATTTCCTACAAAGTCAATGGTTGTTGTGTTGCACTTTGACTTTGCGTACACGAGGAAGCAGCCTTACCAAAAAGAAAACCGTGCATTGCTTACGATGGCCACGGGCCTCGCGGGCGATGAAGCCAGTCGTGTGGTCCAAGCGAACGGCCTCACTGGCGACGTCGACACAATGGGTTATATTACTTATCACGACGGATGTGCCCAGATAATGAATCTCGGGCTTTCGCCCAGACTCGGTCGATAACTCCGGGACAGCACCGACTGTCTGTCATCACAAGAGAGCGGCCAATCCATCGCCAAAAGCTGGTGATGTTCTCCCTGGCTAGGCCTTGCCCTGAACCACAGCCTCGAGGTCCACTACGCATGGCATCTTAACGCCACCGACGCGCACCTTGGCCAGGTCAGGCTCGTACCCCTCCTCGATGTGCGGCCACGGCCCCAAGGGCGTGATGGCGCGCGGGTTGACGCTTTGGTGCGACTTGGTGTAGTTCTCCTTGATGTGCTTGAAGTCGGTCGTCTCGCGGAATGCTGGCACATTCCAGTACAGGTTTTTGAGCCAGTTGTGCAGCTGCGGGTAGTCGTGCCGGATTATGCCCAGGTTGCACTTGAAGTGCTGCGCGTAGACCGTGTCGAACCGGATTAGCGTCGCATACATGCGCACATCCAGCTCCGTCATCTGGGCGCCCAGGAGGTACGGCCCGCCGTTGGCGTGCACCATGCGCTCGAGGACGTTGAGTGCGGCAAAGACGTAGGGTACGTGTTCGTCGTACTCGGCTTGCGTCTCGGCGAAGCCTGCCTTGTAAACGCCGACGTTGAGGTGGTCCTGCATCCAGCCCCCGATTCGGTCGATCTCAGCGCGGAGCGCCTCCGGATACAACGTCAGGGCCCGCTCGGGGCTCCCCTCGGGCAGGAGCGGGTCGAAGGCGGTCTGCAGATCGCGCAGCAGCTCCAGAGACTCATTATTGACGGCAACAGAGTTCTTCACGTCCCAGAGCAATGGAACGGTGTAACGGCCTTTATACTGCGGATCGTCCTTGAAGTATATGTCGTGGAGATGGATGGCACCGAACAGTGGGTCAAGGTCGGCGCCAGGATACTCATCAGCCGAAGTGGGGAACCTCCAGCCCGGCCAGCCGTTGTCGTTACCCTTGGGATACGGCTTCACCACAGTGGCAGGGAGGAACTCCTGGAGGCCTTTGAGATTGCGCACGATTAGAGCCCGGTGCGCAAAGGGGCAAAACAGACCTGTTTGGCGTCAGGAGTAAGCATGTGAATCATGGGAATAGGGGGCCAGGCGGCAAAACCGAGCATAGGCAAAGCCTAGCATACCAATGTAAAGACGGTACCGGCCCTTCTCTGGAGGGAAAGGCCCCTCTGGAGTAATCTTGCCGTGCCAAGACTCGTCGGTGCCAGGCGTGTGCTTGGTTGCAACTAACACAGCGGCCGCCGCTGCTGGGGCCTGCGAGGTCATTCTGGGCGCGTGCGAATGTGGTGATGGGGCAGTGTGCCAAAATTCGATAGTCTTGTGCCTGCGTTGACCAAAAGTGCTTGCGTGCCCGAGCGATGCAGTGCTGTTCTGTTCTGTGGAAACAAAAGAAGCGGGGTGGTGCCATGACGACGGCGAGGCCAGCCGACTGGCCAATTTCAGAAGCTGTGGGGCCGCCACAACTGCCGTTATGGAGCGCCATCGTTCGCCGAGGCAAAATCGCGGTGAAGCGCGGATCATTATTCGAGCAGCCTCCAGTCGTCAACTGTGAGGCATCGAGGGACGACGGGAAGCCCTCCAGCCGACGAGACGAAAACAAGGGCCGTTACAATGTACAAACCAACCCACATATGCAAGACTTGCTAACAGTTAAGGCGGAACATTCCAGCCTGCCGGCGCCGTTCGAAAATATGGAAGAAGAGCCAGATGACGGAAAAATTCAAATGTGGAGCAAGTCTCCACCCTGTGCGGCTAGCTGGTTCTCACCAAGCTGTGTAGGTACCTAGGCAGGCACGCAGGTAGTTATTACCGCGCTTTTTACTGGTCAACATGACATCATCCAGACCCGATGATCCAGCAGCTAAGGGGCCATCGCTTTTGGCAATCTCATCGTAGACTCTGGAAAAGCCATGCTTGATCATACTGGATGGAAGCGGCAGACGAAAAGTTTGGTCTAATACATACTAACTAGCCCCCGCTACGAGCAGCTGTCGGATGTCTCGGATGGCATTTGCGCTGGGAATGATTGGCGGGCAGGCGCCTTACATGGTTGCAAGTCTTACAGGGCACTATCGACGCCGAGGCGATGACATTGGATGAGAATATGTCGAAAAGCGGCATGAGGCGATAATTATTGTGTCCGTCGTCGTAGCCTGCACACCATCGGGCTAACTCCGATGTGACCCCATGATCTCGCGCCGACTACCACTACGACAGACACCGTCATCCTAGCACCCATGCCAAGCCTTCTTACGGCCTTCTTACCAAGCTCAACTCTTGGCCTCGGAGTGTTATGTGCCCCGCTGATGCTCCACGCCTGGATGCCATTGTGAAGTGATCCCTTGCCATACTCGTGCGCCCGTGTGCCCTCGCCCTCGCCTTACACAACCACCACTAACGCCGAAGATGGGGCAGGGCGGGTCGCGATGGGCGGACATTGGTGGTGATGACCAATGTAGCCGTAGCCACCACCGGCACGGTTAGCCCCGTTTCGCGATACACATCACCTTGCCCCAAGATTTGTCAAGCTTACTTCCAAGCACTTCGCTCCCTGACGTCGGACTGGAGTCGACTACAAAAGCGCGCCATGCTCTTCCATCTAGAGGTACCGGTTCCCTTGATGACCACCAGCTCGCTCACTGCCTAGGTCTGCCTCTAGAAGCTCTGCCGGCCCTCTTACACCAAGCTCTCGAAAAATGCGGCACTTCGCCAGCTACTCGGCCTTGCTGCCGCTCCTCGCGGCAGTCGCAGACGCCGCCACCACCATTTTGTTCAACGGCGGCACCATCGTCGCCTTTGACCGCCAGTCTGAGGGCCTGCGCGTTATCCGCAATGGGTCCCTCCTGGTGCGTGACGACCGCATCGCCGGCGTCTACGACTCGGCCCCGACCGATATCCCAACCGGGGTCGAGATCGTCGACGCCACCGACAAGATCCTGACCCCTGGTTTCATCGACACGCACCGCCACGGCTGGCAGACGGCATTCAAGACGCTGGGCTCCAACACCTCCCTCGTCGAGTACTTTGGCCGCTTCGGCGAGTTCGCATCGGCTGGTAAGTGGACCGCCGAGGACGTGTACAACAGCCAGCTGGCCGGGCTATACGAGGCCGTTAATTCCGGCGTCACCACCATGCTTGACCATGCCCACCACACATGGGACAGAACTACATCAAATGCCGGCCTGCGCGCTAGTATCGATAGTGGTAGTAGGGCCTTCTGGGCCTTCACCTTCCACAACACGAGCACGACCGACATACCCGCCTTAACCCGCGTTTTCCGGGAAATCGCGCAGAACGCCTCGTTTGAGGGCTCGCCAACCACCCTGGGCATTTCGTACGACGCATGGGGTCCCAACCCCAACATCAACGAGGTCAACACCATCATGGACCTTGCCAAGTGAGTCTGACCTCTTGTACCGCCTTGACCGAATCGTCACATTGACATTAACCAAGGGAGTTCAACGTCTCCGTCATCACTACGCATTCGCTGCAGGGGCCCTGGGGCATCACCAACTCTCCCGAAGACCTGCACGCGCTCAACTACCTCAACATCTCCATCCCCATCGTCTTCTCGCACGCCTCGTTCTTGACGGCCCAGGGCGCGTCGCTGCTGCGCTCGACGAACCAGTACATCTCCATCACCCCCGAGTCCGAGATGCACTACGGCCACACCCACCCGGTCAGCTACCACATCCAGGACCAGGCCGCGCTCGGCGTCGACACCCACTTCACCTTCAGCACCGACATCCTGACCCAGGCCCGCATCTGGCTGCAGCAGGCCCGCTACGAGGCCTTCGAGGACGTGCTCGACCGCTGGGAGCTGCCCGCCAACAACCCCATGAGCGTCAACCAGGCCTTCCTGCTCGCGACCCGCAACGGCGGCCTCGCCCTGCGCCGCGACGACCTGGGCGTCATCGCCGAGGGCGCCAAGGCCGACATCGTGGTCTGGGACGGCGGCTCGCCGGCCCTGCTGGGCTGGACCGACCCCGTGGCCGCCGTCATGCTGCACGCGAGCGTCGGCGACGTCGAGTCCGTCGTCGTCGACGGGAAGTGGGTCAAGAAGGAGGGGAAGCTCACCGTCGGCGACTACAAGTCGGTCCGCGCAAAGTTCCTGCAGACCGCCAAGAGGATACAGGACATCTGGAGGAACACGCCGCTGCCGTCGCCCGAGGATATGCAGGCGCCGTTCCCGTACCCAATCGGCAAGGCCAAGACCGCTGACGTCAAGCGAGGCGACGGGGATGGCTACGGCGAGGTTCATATCTAAGGAATGCGCCGGTCCAACCAATGGAAGGATGCCGTAGTGACTAGACTAGATGCAATAATGATAATTAATGTATACATCCATACGTTTGATCAGCTCCCCTCTTGAACTGCAAAATAGAAGTGCTGGTACCTCAAAGGGTAATGCTCAGTAGCAGTATGTGTGTGGGGTATTACGCTTGGCGAGACCGGATTGGGAAAGTGGCATGTCGTATTCTGGCTACGGCTGGTGCAGAATACCCGTGGGCGGTCCAGGTCTATCCATCGGGGTGGGCCGTGCACTCACGTGCCTGGGCCCACCTCGCACAGTATATGCAATATAGATTCCAGGAGTGCCTGAAGGACCGCAACTGTCATCGCTCAACCGCTCCTCAACGCTACACTACGCCACCCCAACCGTCACGAAGCCGATACCTGCAGTCGCTAGCTTACTAAACGTTTGCACCTTCAGTTTTGTCACTCCTCGTACGGCAGCGGCCTCTCAACCTTGATGAGCACGGCGCGTTTGACCGCCGGGTCGAGAAAGGTGCCGCGCGCAAGCGGGAGCCTGTCATACAATACCACCGGACCAGGCCCGGGGCAGGCCGGGCCGGGCCCCGCCCAGACCTCACGCAGCTTAGGCGCAAAGTCGACGATGTCGTCAAAAAAGAGACGCTTCCAGTCCATGACCCGCACTTTCGAGGTGGGCGGCGCGTCCCAGGTGCGCAGGCTCGTGCGGTGATATCCCGAGGGGACCATTCCCTCGGGGGCATAGATGGATGGGGCCCGTTTCATTGCGCCATGCCTCACCCCCAGGTACGGACCAGGACCGAGGACCCCATCTGCCACGTTTCCCACGAACCCGTGCGCCTCGAGACGGCAGAAGACCTGTACACTGCGTAGAAAGAAAACGAGGCCGATGTTTTGCCTGGTCAGCATCGCGCCCGGCGAAAATCGCAATCATGCCACCGCCCAGGTGGGGGGATATAACTCACGCCCAGTCCCTGTCTCCGTTCCAGGGGTCGTCGCCGACGCCGCTGTCGACGTAGCTGAACGCCGCCAGGTCGCCCGTCTGCCCAACCGCCTCCGAGTCCCGGTGCTCTCCGGCGATGGCGTCCACGACCGCCCGCAGCGTCAGCGCCGACCGGATGGGGAACGTGAAGCCCACGTGGCTCAGTGGCCCGGCCAAGGCGTCGTTGCCGAGGAGGCGGATCACGCAAGCCCCGACCCCGTCTCCGTCCGGGCCCACCTCCATGTTCACGCTGGCCTTCTGACAGGCGCCCCCGAAGCCCGGGAGCGGCTGCTGGAAGGTGACGACAAAGCGAAAGTGCGGCTTTTGCCTGCTCGTCTGCGGGAACTCCACAGCGAAACGAGTGACTGGCGCCGCGAGGGCTGCCGCCAGATCCGGGCACGGGCTTGCACGGTGTGCATCCCCGATTTGGTACATCTCCAGGGCCGGATCCGACTCGAATTCCGGTTGTGGTTGCGACTGTGACATGGTGATCTCTCTAAGGAGCTAGGTGTGTATTTGGCGACAGAGTGAGCAGAATTCCCTTGGTTGTGGTCGTAAATTAGATTCTCTGGTTCTGGAGGCTGTTTAAGCGAGGCTTTATATCTAGTCACTGGCCGTACGTTGTTCGGCCTGACCGACCTCCGGGGTTTGCTATGCCTTTACGACCACATCAGTCAAGACTACCAGTCACCCTGAATAGCATATGTCCTGCTATTCGATGTGACGGCGCCACGGAGGGAGGAGTCAGCATTGGTGCAAACAAAAAGATGAAGCAAGGGACCGTACTTGCCACCATTGCTTGCTGAGCTGGGCGCCTTACGGTTCATGTCATATCCGACCCTGTCTCTGCCGGTCCAAAGGGGCAAATTTCTTCTCTATTCCATCCGCTGCGACTTCTCATTCACGGCATCCGCCGCTAGAACAAAGAAGGGGATGTTGGCCAAGGGTCTACTGGACTGACCGGGTCTTAGGAACCCGTCGCTCGTTACACAAACTCTGGCGGGAACTGGGGATAGCTCCATCCCTTCGAGTGCCGTTACACCCCCAGCCGCCCGGATAGGAAGGTAATCGGCAAAGACACCCTGGTTGTTGTTGTAACTCGGAGGTACGGATTTGCAGGAGCACGGTGCGAGTATTGCCACGTACCGCTTTGTAATGATGACTTGTGCTGGTACTTCTATCACGGGCTAGAAAAGGCGCAGGTGGAAGTACCGAAAAAATGAACCTTTTTATTGGCTGACGCACGCGAGATTAGCGGCTGGGGGTTTAACGGCACTCGAAGGGATAACACCCCCCTCCTAACATTTCCATTAGATATCACCACCCACTCTTCCCCCAACGGCTGGCGCATCCGTACGCGTGCTGTTTCTCTGAGTAGTCAGCCCACTGGAGAGCCGAAACGAAGGGGTCGTTGGTAGACGTCTTGGTGCCTGTTAGCTCGCGGGTGCCAGCCGCCCCATCGCTATCTGGGTCGAGACCAAGAGGAGCCAGGAACGAAGCATCCTTGCAGTTGGTGCGGCAACTGGACTTTATGCCAGTCCCTTTTGGAATCGCCTTTATCATCATCGTCCTCTGGCCTTCGCGAATGTCCAACATGTGCCAACATACCCATTGCGCCTCGGTTACCCATAGTTAGGAAGTTTTCGGCTTCTTACAAAAAGGAGTTCGCTCCTAAAGGGGTTACGAAGGCAATAACCCAAAAAATAACGTCGATAATGCAAAACCATCTGGGTAACGAAAAAGGCCAAGCAACATGGACAAGCGAATCGACTGGGATGGCCAGGCCGCTCAAGGGTGGTCGTATGGACCCATTGATGCCGAGTTTCAACGCAGCGTTTCCGGTCGACCGCCGCCCAGATAACGCAAACAAGCTAGCATAGCACACGCCGCGCAATCTATGGGTGATCGAGCTGTGCCTAAACTTTGCCAAATCGTGGCATTTGCCAGCCGTACTGGCCACGGTTGGAAAGTTTGTCAAGGATTCGCCGCGGGACAAAAACTTTCGGCAGCTTGACGAGGTTGAGCTCGTGGGAAACTGCAGGCGCCTTACCATGATTCGACAGAAATTTCCGCGCAGGCGGAAAATTCGGAGCAAGCTTCAGCTGGCTAACAGCCAGTTAGATTATTTGAGGCAGGAGTGGAAATCCGGCGAGCTCCATCCAGGCAGCCCAGATATCGATGCCCTGGTCGAATTTTCCTGCATAAGGGATGTCTCCGCTTCCTTCAACCTAGCCCGGAAGAGCAGCCTCCCGAAGAAACATCGATGGGGTAAGGGACCTACACAGGTTGCCGAGGCCGCTGGTTTTCGGGACGCAGCCGAGCCAATCATTAAACAAATTGAAGATTGGGCCGATGTTAGACTCCCCAAAAGGGAAGACTGCCCGTTTATCGGTCTCGAGGACTGGATGCCGGAGGACTGGTGTTGGCTTTCGTACTACAAGTTCTTTATACTGCGGCGCGACAGAATGACCTGTTACTGCAACCGCGCCCACCCGACCGTCGACGACGCCATCACCCTTTTCATCGAATGCATCCTACAGGTTATCATTAGGGTAATGGACTGCGGCAGCGACGACATCAAGAAAAAGCTCCAAAACAAGCACAAAAAGTTCCTCTGCTTGCCAATTAATATCGTTAAAGGGAGTCCCCTGTGCCTATCCATCGGCCACCGGCATTACGGCCAGCAGATGAAAACTGGATGGACAATGGGAAGCCTAAGCCTCAAGGACAGGCTGGATAAAAACAACGATAACAACATTTGCATAAAAATACATTTTTCGAATTTTTTTAAATTTTTTTTTTTTGAAAAATACATTAACGATATACAATCGGTTATTCCAATAGCTAATATGTTTAATTCATTTTTTAATTCAAATATAAAATCTAATTTATATAATTAAGCGTTTAAATTAAATAAAGTTAAAAAAAAGGACGAATCCAAAATTAAAAAAAAGTAAAAGCAAAAATACGGGCGCTTATTAAAGAAAATAATAGTTATTCGGAGTAAATGTACAAGCTAATAGCTATAAATTGGGGGAGACTGCGCTCTTAGCTTCAATGTACACATTTATAGTTGCTCCAATGCAGGCTCCCTGTGCTCGACGTCAAAATTACGTTTTTGGGAATAGTGGGACAGGCCCACGAGGTGGTGATATCACGGTTGCCCGAAAACTGGAGAATCAGCCTGAGCAAGGTCCGAAATTGTCGACTAAAATTCGTTTGCCTGTGTAAATACTGCGTAGAGCCATGGCCGCCTTGCGTGGCATCGGATGGCAGCACCCCGAGTTTAGCGGCCGGCCATGCAGATCTCACCAACGGGGACGATTAGGGCGCGAGCCTGGCATGAGCGACCATGCCTCAATTCTCAGAGACAACACCATACTTCTCGTGCCTGAAATCGCACATGCCCCGTATCTCCTCCTCCGACCCAAACAGCACACTGACGAAGACGCGGTCCGACGAGCCCCAGTCCGGCTCCGAGTGCACGGGCGAGTCGTCCTGGCCCCACGAGAATCGAATGACCTGCCGGGCGGACGGCAGCGCCACCTCGCTAGCCCCGGCGGCGTCCCGCAGACGCGCGGCGCGCCCGGCCATCTCGTCGCCGCCGCCGGCCCAGACGTCGTCGGCTTCATGATGGGCTACGGCCTCGTCCACAAGCGCCCCGGGCTGCATCAGCCGCGTCGGCGGGCCGAGGAGCGTCACCGCGTACTTGGCGTGGTGTCGCGCCGTTGTCTGCGCGGGCGCGGCCGACGACGGGTCATGGTCGCTGGCTGGTGGGACCGCGCCGTGGCCCGGGCAGGAGCAGTCGAACATGACGCCGTCGCGGTGCTAGCGGGGCGTCGCAAACTCGTCGGTTGGCTTGAACAAGCGCACCGTCAGCCAGCACGCCCGCGTCACGGCCGGGCGGGCTGCGGGATCGGCGATGGCGACGGCGTCTCGGGCTGCTGCGTCGAGAAAGCGGGCGACGGCTTGCTTGAGGGCCGGCAGCGGATCCGCCGTCGTCTCTCCCGAGTTTCCGGAAGTCGTGTTGGCGGCGGTGAAGGCGGCGGCCGACTGGGCAAGAGACTCGGTGTCAAAGCAGCCATACCAGATGTAGCATGACTCCTTGATAACCGAGAAAGGTGCATCGGCTGGAAGATCTAGCGGACATTCGATGGTGGCAAACGGCGGTGGAAGCCGGTTCGAATGCTCGACTGGCGGCACAGACATGGTTTGTATCCTAGCCAACCCCAGTCTTGCAAAAACTGTCGTCTTCCTTGGACATGCTTGACCTCTCAAGGGCTGCACCTTCTTCAACCCCTTCAGCCGCGGTGTTGGTTCAAAGGCTGCTGCCTGGATCTAAGATCCGAATCGGGCTTAGGTGCAGAGCTGAGCCGACGCAGCCCCAGGCATCTAGTACCATCCAACTCGGTTGGGCTCGGAGCTGAGAATGGATACATGCATATATCTCACCCAAGCTAAAGCGCATGGGCGACGCGCGACCGCTTCGTAAGCCTTGGCGAATAAACCCGCACGAATATGGCGGCGTGCCTCCCGAAAAGCTAGCCGAGACGGAGGCCCATTAGGGTGACCAATGGGTGGGGTTCAAGCTTTCGGCGACGGAGAAAACGGTCGATTCCACGGCTTCATCATCAATAGAATCGAGACTGGAAAGAGACCGAGATGTCCCATCTCTTGTAAGATGTCGATGGGGGCACAGCGCCGCCCGTTGTGAATACAAAGATGGCCCAATGTCTATGTTTATTGTTTATTATTTATCAGATGGACCTGCAGCTTCCAGCTTCGCAGAGTGGATTGCGTGGCCCGCCGCCCCTTTGCAGTGTCCACGGCGAGGTGGGGTTGGGACAAATTGTCTCCCATCTGCTCCATCACGTCCATCCCGTTCAGGGTCTTGTCCTCCGAGGCCGGCCCCTAAACCTCGACCATTCGGGCCAGCTGCCCGCGGAAATCGATATGTTACCCTACGGCCCCGCACAGCACGTCATGACAAGCAGGCACGTCGCCGGATTTACGAAGGGACACGAGTCGTGCAAAGGAAAATTTCTCCTTTTATCAGATCAATCAGGCCACCCCTAATCTCCCGATCTGATAACATTAAAGGCGCGCCTCCGCGTCGGTCCTTCAGGACCCTTCTTCCCTTCCCATATCCTCGGGTCCAGACGCTACCACCACCGCCTAGAGACGACACGTCAAGCGGATCGGACCGCACGTGCGCACGTTGCAGCTGCAGGCAACATCCGATTGTGACAGGCTGTCAAGATGGCGGTCCTAGACAAGGTTAGAAGTACGACACACCTTTCCATGAGGTTGCGACCCGGCCGTTTTTGGTGCTTCGAGACTAACACGTGCCGAAAACTCGCAGCCTTCTTCCTTGGCGATGCAGCCAAGTCCAAAGAGGAGAGGAGGCTGGTGCGGAAGCTTGGTGAGTTGGACACTTTCAGCCGCCGCTGCTTGTAAGCCCGACGGCCAGTGATCACGTGCTGACTTGGGATGGTTGCTAGACGTGTTTATTATGGTAAGTGCAATCGCAAGTGACAGCATCGGCGGCTGTGGCCTTGATCGAGTGGCTCTGACTGTCATGTCTCCCTAGACCTACTGCTGCTTCAGCTACTTCTTCAACTTCCTGGGTATGCTCAAGCCACACCACCATGTTGTTTATCCCCTCAGCCATAGACACGCCGGCCTTGCCTAACAACTCAACGCACCACTCACAGATCGCGCTGCCTTTGCCAATGCATACGTCGCTGGCCTTCGCGAGGCCTTGAACATGACCGGAGTGGAGTATAATGGTGTCCTTGCTATCACGACAGCCGGGTAAGCATCTTCCTACAACCCCCGTCCTCGACATATAAGCTGACGCATTCATCCGGCCCATTGTACAGCATGGCGGTCAGTCAAGTCTTCCACGGCATCATCATCCAAAAGGTCGCTCCCAGAATCTGGCTTCCGTCCATGGTAGTAGTCTGGGCCGGCCTGACCATGGCCAGCGCCGCCGTCAAGACGGTCTCGCAGTTGATGGCGATCCGCTTCCTCCTCGGCCTGGCCGAGGGCAGCACGTACGCGGGCACCATCTACATCATCGGGTCGTGGTACAAGCCGCTCGAGATCGCCAAGCGCACCGCCATCTTCACGGCCTCGGGCCAGGTCGGCACCATGTTCGCGGGCGTCATGATGGCGGCCATCTACAACGGCATGGGCGGCCTGGCCGGACTGGCCGGCTGGCAGTGGGTGTTCCTGATCGACGGCATCATCACCCTCCCCATCGCCCTCTTCGGCTTCTTCTACTTCCCCGACATCCCCGAGATCACGCGCGCGCCCTGGCTGACGGCCAAGGAGAAGGACCTGGCCGTCGCGCGGCTGCCGCCCGTGGCCGAGGGCGGCCACAGCGTGGCGCCGCTGTCGCTGCTCAGGCGCGTGGCGCTGACGCCGGTCTTCTGGCTGCTCCTGCTCTGGTCGCCCATCGCGCAGACGACCGAGGCGTACGCGGTGCAGAACAACCTGCTCATCTGGCTCAAGTACCAGCAGACGCACGGGGGCCACTTCACCCAGGCCCAGGTCAACCAGTACCCGCTGGGCGTGCAGGCCGTCGGCATCGCCGCCAACATGCTGGCGGCCTGGCACATGGACGCGACGGGCACGCGCGTGCCCATGGCGCTGCTGGCGGCCGCGCTGCAGCTCGTCGTGGCGTCCATGCTGCTGGTGCCGACGCTGCCGTTCGCGGGCACCATGTTCGCCTTCTACCTCAACGGGTCGGCGTACATGGTCAACCCGCTCATCTTTGGCTGGGCCAGCGTCATCCTGCAGCGCAGCGGCGACGACGCCGTCCGCAGCGTCACCGTGTACTGCATGAACATTGGGTCCATGGTGCTCTACACCTTCTGGGGTGTCGTCTTTTACTCGGCCGACGACGCGCCGTACTGGTTCAAGGGTGGCGTCGCCATGATTGTGGCGTGCTTCATCATGATGGGGTACACCTTTGTTATTCACTGGGTATGTCGCCTCTGCTGAAATTTTATCTGCTTCATCTTAAAGACCCTCGCTGACACGAGACATTTCTCTTTCCAGATCGACCGCACCACGATGGCCAAGTTCAAGGAGGCAGAGGCGGCCAGGGCGCAGGCCGACAGCAAGGCGGAGCTGCCCGAGCCGTCCGAAAAGGTGTCGGGGGAGAAAGAGACCCCCAAGACGGCGGTTGCGCCGCAGTGAGCAAATCCCAAGCCCCTGGCAGCTGCGCTTCTTTGGTGCTTGGGGGAAGGCTACACACGAGCCGGCGGGTGGATAAACGGGGACGATAAAATACAGAGCGAAAGGAAAAGTAATGTTTGTTCAATCACGTCAACTGCTACGGCCCATGATGTTTTGCTCTACTTGTCTTCTCGGACCGTAACGTCATCGCCGTTCAAGTGTCTTGTTGAACTTGGTCCATTTTGCATACGGGCCTTGCCCCCTTCCCATTTGTGCATACGCCTAGCGTACATATTTACAGACCAGCCCCATCCCCAGTCCCGTAACTAGCTCCTGTGCCGGACATCATGTCCTGCTCCGGCTCCTGCTTCCCACCCTGCCCACAACGAGGGTGTCAACCCGGCGGTTGGCCAAAACGCTCCTCCATTGCCGGGCTTTGCTTAGAAGACGCAGCTGCCGCCGCCATTGATGTCGAGGAAGCTGCAAAAAGCAAAAGGCAGACACGACGGTCAGCATCATAGAAAACTGGTCCAGTACCAAAAAGGTAAGAAAACAACGGGGAACCCTACCAGTCGCCGCCCTGGAAGTCGGTGCAGTAAAAGGTGCACTGGGTGCTGACGGAGCAGCTCAGGCCGACGGACTCCTGGACCTTGATGCGCTTGGCCTGGGCCGGGGTGGGGAGCTTGGGGCACTTGTCCGCCGCAGGCGCGGGCGCGGGCGCCGCGAGCGTGATGCCGGCGAGGGCGGCGAGGAGGATGGTGTTGAGCTGCATTGTTTCGGTCTTTGAAGGGGTGTGTGGTTGTGGAAGGCAGGTCTTGGTATTTGTCCTGATGGGGGGATGGAGATGGGATGAGACATGAGCGTTCGATGGCGGGCATCCGTTCGGGTTTATGTACTCGAGGAACGCCGTGTTGATGGACGATCACGAAGCAAAAACCCAAGCATCCTAAATCTTCCCCCAGGGGCTGTTTTCGCTAAATGGTTGCATCTACAATCCCCCAAACAAAACGGCAGAGTGGTGGCGTGTTCCGGCCAGGTCGTCGTGGGGCTGTGACGTTGAGCCTCAGTCCGAAATAGGAAATTCTGATGATGACATCTGCGTCAACTGCGGTTCCTGGCCCGGCGGCCAAGGCCCCGTAATGCTACCCTTGTTTCGACGTGCGGGAGAGGGCACTGGCGTCCCCGAGTCCTGATTGCTCTCAAGTCTTGCATTGTGGGGCGGGCGGGGGGGTGGACCCTTGGCAGGCCTCGCCAGACATTGGCCCGTCCGTCGGACGCTCCTGGAGTGCGCTTGGCTCTGTTGCCGGCTAATGTTCCTATCTGCAGAGCATCTGTCATGGTTTTGGCCATGGCTTGTGTCGCGGAGTTGATAGTGGGGCCCAATTGTGTTACTGACACAAGCGTTTGTGTTTTGTGCCATTTGGTTAATTGGTTCGTTTGCGATAGCTTGCGTCTTTGGCCTACCGGACCGTCGGGTAGTTGATCAATGTGCCAGGGCCGCAGCCGAACCACAACCAGGGGCAGGTTTTACCCAGCGCTACTGGGATGAGCTTCCGTACTGGAGTGATGCCAACACGACCCTCAACAGGACGACTAAACACCACAACTTCAAGACGGCGGCAACAGGCGACATGGCAGACTTTATTACCGTAAAGACTCACAGCTACCCCTTCTTCGCCCTGACCAGCATCCCCACATGCATGCTCGCCCTCCTCTGCGCCGCCGCCCGCTTCGCCGCCTCCCTGGGCAGCGGCGGCAGCTGCTTGCGGCGGGACGTGCCGCCCTCGAGCCGGGACGACGCCGTGGTGGGGCGGTCGATGGCCGAGTCGAGCGCGTCCAGCTCGGTTGGCATGGCCGGCGGCGGCATTGGCGGCATGCTCAGGTGATGCACCCTACGGCTACTACTACTAGTGCCATGGTCAACAACAATAAGGCCGTCTGACCCGGGCGCGACCGCGATCGTCGACGCGCGCCCGCCACACACAGACGACGCGGCGCCCAGCAGTGACAGCGGCGGCGGCACGTAGCTGGCCCGGTCGCTGCCGGGGCCCGGCAGCCCCGTGTGGATGCTCCAGGGGCCCCAGTACTTGGGCATGATGGGATCGTGCGTCATGCCGGGCGTGCCGGCGCCGAGGACCGTGGCGGAGCTGACTGAAGATGGCGGCCAGGACGCGGTGGCGGCTGCGGCTGCGGCGGCGGCGGGGGAGAGCGACTTGGTGTGCGACTGGTAGCGCAGGCGGAGCTCCTCCTGCTTGAGCTGCTTGCGGCCGCGGTACCACACGAAGAAGATGGCGAAGCCGAGGATGGCGAGCACGGTGAGGCTGCCGATCACGCCGCCGACGATGATGCCGATGGGGGCGGTGTTGCTGCTGGTGCCGTCCTGTCGTTTTTGTAGTTCGGCGGCTGCTCGGTCTCTGCTTGGCAGTTGTCGACGGTCTGGTTCATGTCATGGAGGGTTAGGAACGGGACTGTCATGTTTTTCTTTTGGGCAAAGCTTCAACGCAAAGGAGCTTACCAGTCAAAATTGGAACCCATCGACGTACCCAATGGCTCGCCCTCCGGACCGCCTGCCATGCTCCTTCTGGGGCTACTGGTATGCTGTCCGGCCTTCCAAGACCAGGTGGAGTAGACACCACCGGCCTTGAATCTGGTGCCGCCACCACCAGCGTGAAGAGCTCCGGAAGGAAGAAGAGCAGAAGCGCAACCCGAGCCAATGTCATTGTCGCAGAGAACTTTGATGTCATGGACGGTGACGGCAAAGGCTGGCTGGCTGGTGATGGAAAACGAACGGACGCCACGAGATCGACGGGCAGGCAAACCAAGCTAGAAGGACCACGAGCAGGACCACAAGCATAGAAGCGGGCCACGGTCGACTTTTGTCATTTCCCTCTCGTCCCCCTGGCCGGCCACGGCAGGCGCGCAGAGCGGCTTTGTGCGGGTGGCTTGATCTTGGCTGCGGCCTGGCTTAGTCGGAGGGGGCTGCTGACGCATTTGATTAGCTCGCGATGCGATCGACGCCCCTGGGAGATTGTCCCCGGGCGCGTTGGTTCGACGGTACGAGGGGTGATCGCCGTGCTCTCCAGCAGAGGAGGTGTCAGCACTAAAAAAGCAACCAAAGATTGAGATTGCAACCATTGACGCTGCCACGACACCACCAACAGCCACCAGGTGGGTCCACCTGGTTGCCAAAAGCCCAACCCGACCATTGAGCCCTAGGCCTTCTCGTCTCCATCTCTCCTGGACCCTGCGTTGGGCATGGATCGACAAAGTCCTATGCATCGATATATGCACGCTGCGCGGCAATGGAGACCAATCTGCTGCTTTCACAAATCCGCCAGCGCCAAATGACGGACACCGATTGCTCGCATGTTGGCAGGAGCCACAGCCCTACCTAACAATGCTGGCTGGGTACTGTACCAGTTGCCAGTTAGCATCAGGATCCAGCCCCCTGTCGACGATGAAACCACCCTGTCTCCCCTGTGCTCGCTAACAAAGCCAAGGATATCTCCCCTGTTGTCACGGCCCCTTCGCTACGAGGGAACACCCGAGTCCTTGCTTTACTTGGCTACTATCACCATAACCACCCATCACATCCCGAGGGCCTATGCTTGCTCATCAGCCTTACCATCAGGCAACGGGATCACTGGGATGGCACACGCAGCTGTCACTCGTGTGAAATATCCATCTTGTATATCCAATCACTACATACCCCCCTCCACTTCACTGATCCCCCTCCTCGAACCCAGCTCAACAGATGCTCTCGCCCCGGTTCGCCCGCCCGTAGCTCTTGTTCCAGCGCTGCACCCGCACGGTCCCGACGCGGCCGCTGCCGCACCGCCCGTCAACCAGCAGGCTGGCCTCGTCGTACTCCTGGCGCCAGCACCGGTTCGAGCCGTCGTAGTTGCACATGTAGGCCAGCGCCGAGCCCTGCGCCACCACGATCCCGACGTTGGCCGGGTACGACTGCGCCCGGTCGCACAGGTCGTTGAAGGCCGCCCGCGCCGTCGCGAACTCGGCCACGTTGACGTAGCCCGCCTTGCACTGAACCTGCGGGCTCGCCAGCGCGGGAGGGTTTTGCTGCCGCGCCGCGAGGCGGCGGCTGACGGCCGCGGGGAGTGCGGTGACGGGCACGGGCGCGCCGACCGCGTCGCCGCCGGCGTCGAGCGCAAAGGCCCACACGCCGTCGGCGAGGTTGTCGGGTACCACGAGGGCGTGGCTCAGGCCCACAAGGAGCACGCTGGCGAGTACGGCGCTTCGCATCTTGTTTGCTGTGGGGGCGGGGCTACTGTTCCGTCTATTGGGCTTGATTGTAGGGACCTTTTTAGGTACTTATCTTGTCAGCACACTGACGGTGTCTGGGGCCCAGGACCCCGGTATCCGGGCCGCGGTATGTCACCTGTTCCAACGAGAACCGAACTCACTTGCTCGGGGCACGTCTGCAGCCAGGTAGCCTTGTTGACGACAGATGAGAGCTGCTGGTTCCTGCGTGATACCGACCCCTTGATCCTGGCCTTCCCGTCGTCGCTATTTATCTGTCAATGGGCCCTCGCCGCCTCGCCGCCTCGCTTTGCCGAGGTTGCCGATTCGCTGGCGAGCCGCTCCATTACATCACGTTATCCTGGGCATTGTCTTCTTCCAGATTGCGCTGATGCTATTTTCAGAGCCTGTCCCGTCAATATTTCAGCTATCCAAACGACCGCAGATCACGTTAACCACCCATGCCTTGCTGCTGTCGTCCGCAAGAGGAAAAGGCGGGACGGTTGGTGATATTTTACCCGCGCAGCCGTGCTATCGAATCCAGAACGAAAATCAGGCTATTGGTCTCAAGGTCTCGAAAGGGAAGGCTGGCATCCATTAGAAAGCATGACTGGGGCTTTGTTGAAGTCTGTCTGGCTGACCAGAAGGCTATGATTTACGAAAACGGCGTCTGCGAGCTGGCTGAGTACTCAATGTCCGTTTATCCGTTCGTACGGCCCAATATCATGACTTGGTTCTGTTCCCGGAATGATTGCCTCGGCACAAGGAACCGGAATATCCAACGTTATGCTTCATCATCGTGCCGCCGGGACCAAAATAGAGCCACCAATCGGTTCATGGCGGCCGGACGCCACCCTCTTGTTTACAACGAGATACCGCCCCAGTACACCTGTCACCTTCATCCCTTATCTCACCCCTTCCAATCGCAGTGCCGTGTGCTGCGTCACAGGACTGTGACCATGATGGGAGAAAAGAAAGTACCAACGCCAGCAAAAAACCACTCCCTCCCTGCCACCCCTAGTCGGCCATCACGCAACCCCGGCAGCGCCAGCTCCTCCCCCAGCTCCTGGACGAGCACCCGTCAAGCCTCCAAGAAGAGCATCGAGACCGCCTCCGGCTGGGTTTGCCGGCGGTGCAGCGGCGGGAGGGTTGGCCCCTGCGGCGGCGACCTTGCAACTCCTGTTATCGTCCCCCGGCGTCAGTGTCAGCGCCCCTCTCTTCCCGCCCATGACGAGTGGCCCGGATCGAGCTAGCGTGCCAGGGAGGACAATCCGGCTAGACGTTGACAGATAAGGGGAGAGAGGGGGGTTTGCTATTACCCAGTGAAGCTGAAGCTTGTGGCCGCCCCGTCCCCCGTGTCAGATCAAGTTCCCCGCACGCTCCTCTGTCGTTTTTTTTTTCGTGCGGCCCTTGGGTGGCATGGCGGTGAGGGGGTTTGTTTTTGGACCGGGTTGGTATTGCCACTCACCGACAAGAGGCAGTCAAAGTCGTCGAAGCAGAGGGCCTGGGCGACGGCGATGCCGGCGAGGAGTGCCGGGACGAGAGCAGCCGAAAATAACATGCTGTCTGCTGTGCGAGTAGATATTGCGCTCGAGCGTCGTGCACGGCGGTGTGGCTCAAGTGACAGTGTGGCCAGTGGTGAATCTCGGGCTGGATCGAGCAGCCGACCTGGACGAGCTGGGTACAGCATGCCAGTCGTATTATATGCGCTCACCACGCATCCAACTCCTCACCCACGTGGGATTCCGAGCCTCCGTGTTTCCAGCAGCAGCACGCTATGACGGGCTCGCGATGAGATGGGGGATAAAGCAGGATATGAGAATGCCGATGCAACCAGCCGCGTTTGGCACCTGCTTCTCGTAGTCTGTGCGTCAGGCTCCCTCCGAGCTTCCGAAATTCGGGTCCGAGCCCGGGCGGGAGTAGAATGGATATATTTAGAAGTGGCGTGAATGTGGCAGACCTGCCGTGCGTCCGCCGCAGCTTTCGGGCTTGATTTAGGCCGTACGGACGGTGGCAATGACTCCTTCATTTACAGAGCTCTTGAAGATCTGGCTGCTGTCTTTGGCCTGCGTTGAATTCCCCCTCAAGCGATTCATATTATCGTGTTATGGAAGAAACTCACTTATTAGACATCATCCATGTACACTCTATCCTGTTTATACATGATTTCCCCCACCTCAGGTCGTCGCGTTGTACGAAACACACTTCCACGAATCCGGGCTGCTGGCGTCGCCGCCCTGGAACCTGTTCATCAGCGGCCAGCGGCAGTGGTCCCTCGCAAACGTCGTCGGCCCCGCCCTGCCGTCGGCGGTGCCGGCGCCCCTGATCACGTCGGGCGCCTCGCCGTCCTCGACCCAGCGCACCAGCCTCATGAGCACGCTGTCGTGGACGGCGCCCGGGTCCGCCGAGAGCTGCGCGCGGTTGTTGCCGATAAAGTGCGCGCCGGGCCCGCTGCGGCAGTGTCCCAAGCCCGAGATGCGGAACAGGCGGTAGAAGCCGTCGAGCTGGTCGGGAGACGCGCCGCCGTCGCCGCCGCCGCCCAGGGCCCTCGAGACCTCGTCGTAATACCGCGGGCTGATGTTGCTGCTGATGACGTTGTCCATGAGGCCGTGGTAGTGCAGCAGCTTGCCGCCGCGGTCGCGGAAGGCGCTAATGTCGCCCTTGAAGGAGCGAATGTCGAACGGGTTGAGTTGGTCCGATTCCGCCCAGAGCTCCGGCGCGAAGGCGTAAAGGTCAAAGGACGGGTCCGCCATGACGACGTAGCGGAGCCAGTCGAGGTAGGGGCTCGGCAGGCCCGTGTAGTACGTGTCGAAGGCGGCGGCCCCGGACCCGGGCTGCATGCGCGGGTAGAGGGAGGCGCCGTCGGCGGACCGCATCTCGCTGAAGACGGCGTTGACGGTGCCGACCTGGCTGGCCGTCAGGCAGCGCGGGGCCGTTGCGTTGCGGGCGCCGCCGCAGAGCAGGTCGTCGGCCGTGTAACGGCACAGGTCGGGGGCCTCGAGGACGCCGTCGGCGCTGCCGTCTAGGGCGTCGCACTTTTCGAGTATGTCCTGGTGCACAACGGCTCAGAGGTCGCGGCTGACGAAAGTGTCCCTGGTATTGGTGCCCGTCAGGTACAAAAAGCGGCCGCTCCACGTGTTGAGGTTGTTGAAGTTGAAGGCCGGCGCGCCCGCAGACACGCCGTCGAACGGGTCCGGGAAGTCCTGCACCATCTTCATGCCCTGGCGGCCGCCGGTCGAGCAGCCGAGGTAGTAGCTCTTTGTGTGGGGGCGCCCGTAAAAGTCGCGCGCGACCGCCTTGCCCGCACGCACGCCCGTGACCATGGCGCGGTAGGCAAAGTCCTCGACGACATCGGGCTTGTCGAGGAACACGGCGCCCGACATGCCGTCGTGGCCGTTGTTGGCGCCAACGGCCGCAAAACCCAACGACGCGGCCCACTCGACGTCCTCGAACTGGACGCAGCCGCCGAGCCCGCCATTGCCGGTGCTGAGGAAGCGGCCGGTCCAGTTCTGCGGCAGCCAGGCCTCCAAGTGCAGGCCCGAGCCGGCCGAGGTGGAGATGTTGGCCTGGACGCGGCAGAGGGGCATAGTGACCAGCTGCGAGGGCCGGTTGCAGGTGCGGTCCGCGTCGAGGAAGTTGATGGTGGTGCCGGCGGGGACGAACTCGGCCGAGGTGGTGGTGCTGTTGGCGATGTTGATGGTCTTGGTGAAGTCGGCGCAAGTTTGGAACTTGTCCGTGTCGGCCTTGTCGTACTGGACAGCCGCGGCTAGAGCAGCCGGGCTGCTGACCGTGACCAGGATGCCCGCTCGGATCAAGACTCGCCGCATCTTGGGCATGGGGGTGCCAAGAGTAGAGAAACAACATAGACAGGGAGAAATGCTGGTGTTTTGATACAAGAAGGAGAATGGGACCGATACTGAGACTCGGGAGAATGGTGCCGATACAGCCTGAAGCGCAATGGCGAGTTGATACGGGAGGCGACGAGGTTGCCGTGAAGCCAAGAAAAGGTCCGCGGAGAGGAGGGCGATGCTTGGCGCCTTGTTTTTATAAGCGCTAGCCTCGGCGATTCAAGACCCCTGAGGGCCTCCCCGGCCCCAATGGCGACCACCGTAGCATCCCCGAATGTTGGCAAAAACCACGGCATCCAACTGCGTAAGGAGGATGTCGTGTAGACATGGACAAACTGGCCAGAGAGACGGCCTCGAATAAGCTTTCCCGCAACCTTGATGAATCTTTATCCGCTATTCCCCACCGACGAGCCCCAGCCCGAGGGACTTTGGCTGTGTTTTCTGGCCCCAAGCGGCAGTGTCCACGATGCTTGGCGGGAGATGCTCAAGCCCGGCACACCGCCGAGGTGATGACCGGGATGCCCCAGCCAACCAAAAGCCCGCACCTCTTCACACTTCCCTCCCCCAAAAAGCCTTCCGCAGCTCGCACCTCCCCGCCGCCCTGCCGCCAGCCTTGCACTCGGCGCAGCGCTTCCCGTGCGTCACCATGAGCACGTGCAGGCCGTACTTGTCGGTGTCGGGGACGCGCGCGTCCAGGTGCAGGTGCGTCTCGTCGCGGGTGGCGCGCGGCGGCCGCCAGCCCAGCAGGCCGGCGATGCGGTGCACGTGCGTGTCGACGGCGAAGCTGTCGCGCCCCAGGCAGAAGAGCAGCACGCAGCTGGCCGTCTTGGGCCCCACGCCCCGGAACGAGAGCAGCTCGCGCATGGCGTCGGCCGTCGGGAGGTCGCGGATGTGCTCGAGGGAGTAGATGCTGTCGTTTTGGTTCTTTTCGTCGTCGTCCTTGGCGACGGCGGGCGAAGACGACAAAGACGACAACGACGACGACGACGCGTGCCGCTCGCGAAGACGCTCCAGGATCGAGATGATCACCCGGCTCTTGGCGGCGGCGAGCCCGCCGCAGCGGATGGCGTCCTCGAGGCGCGCGGTGCCCCCCGCGGCCACGGCGGCCCAGTTGTCGTGGCGGCCGCCGTAGGCCGCGTCCATGGCGCGCTTGGCGCGCGCCGAGTTGGCGTCAGTCGTGTTCTGGCTCAGGATGGTGCGCACGAGCGCGTCCAGCACCGTCGCCGCGTCGCCGCACCCCGCGCGTCCGGCCGGACCCGAGGCCGGCGGGTTCGTCGGCCGCTCGCGCGGGCCGTGCAGCGACGCCAGGATCGAGTGCGCGAGTCTGCACTCGGCGGCTGTCGGGTGGGCAAAGTCGGGGAACGGGGAGGCGGGGGTCGTCGCGTGCGTGCCGTCGGTGCCGTAGTAGAGCCTGAGCTTGCGCGCCGCGAGGGAGGTGTCTAGGGATGAGAGTGACGATGGCACGGGCTGTGTGGTAGGAGGAGGATTTTTCTGGAGTGAAGGCTCGTCTTTGGTTTGTTCCTGTTTTATCGTCCGAGACTTGGCTGCCTTCATTGACGGCTGGACGTCTTCATTGCCATCTTCCGGTTTCACTCTCGTCCTGTCTTCGTCTTCTTCATATCTCCTCTTGGGCGAAGGAGGTGATGGACCTGGCTGGCTTGGCCTTTTTCGACTGGACCGTCGTAGATTGACGAGCTGAGACGCCCTCGTTGCGCTTGTTTGTCTGGCCATTGCGGTGGTACGGGAATGTTCTTGAACATGAAGACACAGATTGCCGGTATTACCCTATCCATCGCATCTTGATGCGCTTGTTTTGAATAACCATTTGGGTTCGATCGCCACGCCCTCATGACGTCAGCAGATTTACTGGCGAACGCCACGCTACCTGCGCTAAAAGTGGTTCACATAATAAAATCATGTCATGGCCTCGTGAAGAAGGCGGGCAGGCGTCTGCAGTGGTCATGGACGGCATCGCAACCCATCAACACATTCCCGCAATCCCAATCCGAGGCTGGATCTTGGTATTACCACAGATTCAAGCCAAGGCCATCCGGCAGCCGGCAGCCGGCAGAGCAAAACGCTAGGCGAGCCCGTCCCGAAACAAGTGACGAGCCGGTATCGAGCCTAGGCATTTGCTTGATCCTTGGCGTTTCCCCCTGTCGATTGTGTGAAAGTCGCAACCCCTACCCAAAACGGAAATTCAACAAGCTCCCCGTGGGGGCTTTCTGTGTAATATAAATCCGCATCGTGTGTGTGGGAGCCGACACTTGATTGGCCAGCTCACACGTCCGAGCATCAATGGGGAGCGTGACACGGGTGCCCGGCGCTAAGGGGCCCGAGAATATTCCCGAGACATCTCTTGTCGTGACAGCAATCAATGCGCTGTGGTGGTCACCCCCAGTGTGTGGAGGGTCCAAGCCGGGATCAAGGTGATGTATCCTTTAAGCGACGCTGGGCCTTTCCACATTACACAGTACATGCCCGCATGCCCTACCCAGGGCTTGTGCGTCGAGAACGAGGATAAAGATAATACCTATTTCAACCCCGGCTGCAATTATTGATCTCCCGCGCGGGCCGAATGGCACCTGGCGGCTCGAACCAGACCTTGGCTTCCCAAGGCGCCGGGTTTCTGGGGTTGCCAACATGGACGGTTGGCTGCAGACTGCCAGCTGGTCACGGATCGGGATCGACGGGTGCAGCTAGTGATGCGATTGGAGGGAGTTGGGCAATGCGGCTTGTTCTTGATCACGGTCACGGAACAACACGAGTGTGAGATGGGAAGATTGAATGCCAAATTGCTTTTCGTCCCTCAATTTAGACAGGGGCCGTGCAAGAGACGAACCTCGGCACAAACATGAGATCGCCGCTGTATCTGCCCATGTCCCCACGCCCACATGAAGTAGATTCGCTGTTGGGGACGCTAGATTGAGCGGAGACAAGGGAAGGGGGGTGAAAAGTAACACCCCGAGATTCACGATGGGGCGTGACGAAAAAAAAAACGCCCCATGAGGGCCGCTTCTCGTGGCTCGGTACATGGCGTATCTCGTCCAACCCACGGAAACACAACCAGACTGGTCAGCACGCGGCCAGACTGCCCAACATGACCGCCAAGGCGACGCGGCGTGTGAGCGGCTCCCCTCACCATCTTGATCGCGGGCAGCCTTGCGAGCGCGACAAGGGAGCCCCCGGGTTACAGGTCGTGCTTCGGCTCCCAAATGCGGACAGGCGGGACGCCATAACGATCCCTGGGGGATCCTTGACCGCGTCAAACACACACGCACTCACACACACAATGAGCCCTCCACACACTCTCGCGTATGATTTTTCCTGTTTGCCCAAGCCGTCGCCGCCGGCCGTCCAGCTGCAGGCGCGGGAAAGTCGTTTGTTTCAACATTTCCTTTCTTCAAATACCGGAAACTTTCCTGCCAAGCGTTTCTTCCATCCCGGTGACCCATTCCCCCTGCTGAGGTGGGGGGATCCCTCTCGGGAATGCAGATTGGGCTGCAGTGGGAAATGGGAAATGTGTACATATAACCTGCCGTCCAGGCGTCTGCTCGTCTCATATCAGAGGCCGATGCAGTCACCCATAGCACAGACAAGTCATCCAACCCGCAAAGGAAGACACAGGTGGACATCCGTCCATACCCTTAAAGCAAAGTTAAAATGAAGTTCTCCAAGGCGACCATCTCGGTGGTGCTGATGGCCGCGGCTGGGTCCGCCCATCCAGTGGCGCCGGTCGAGGACGTCAAGGAGGCCGATCTTGTGCCTCGCCAGGTATGATCCCGCGTTTTTGGTGCTGTTTCTTTTTTTTCTTCTTTTTTTTTCTTTTCGTTTCAGTCTTTCCCCGCTGCCCGGGTCCTGTCCACTAACAGCAGCCAAAAAAAAACAGGGCGGGTGTGCCGACATCCACGTCGTCTTCGCCAGGGGCACCACCGAGATCGGCACCCTGGGTACCATCGTGGGGCCGCCGCTCTCGGGTGCGCTCCGGTCCACAGCCGGCGGCAGGTCGACCGAGGTCGAGGGGGTCCCCTACCCCGCCGCTGTGTCCGGGTTCCTCGCCGGCGGGGACCGGCGCGGCAGCGCGACCATGTAAGGCTTTTTTTTAAAAAGAAAAAAGAAATCAAGAAAATCCGAACTCCCTTCCCCCACCTGCTTGCTAGCTAAACGTAGCCGAATCATAAAATAGGGCCCAGATGGTCACGTCCAAGGCTGCCGCCTGCCCAAACACCAAAATCGTCATGGCGGGCTACTCGCAGGGCGGCCAGCTGGTGCACAACGCGGCCGAGCAGCTGCCCGCCAGCGTGGCGTCGCGTGTCAGCGCCGCCGTCATCTTCGGCGACCCCAAGAACGGCGAGCCGGTCGCGCAGATCCCCGCGTCGCGCACCATGATTATCTGCAACAGTGGTGACAACATCTGCTCCGGGGGCGTCCTGATCTTCGCGCCGCATCTCACGTACGGCGCCGACGCTGGCAGCGCGGCCCGGTTTATCGCGGCCCAGTCTGCCTAAGTGATCTTTTTGTGGCGAGGATGACCACTCTGTATTTGGACGCGCAGCGGAGGACTACTCAGGTGTGTGTGCGTTGTATATATATGCTCAAGTTCAGTGCGTCCGAGATTACCTACACCTCGCTCACAGCGGGGAAGATTTCCTGTCTGGAATAGAAAGTTTCTGCAAGTCAGAAATCGTCTGCACCGCCCACGTGGATCTTGCCGCCGCGCGTTTCAAGCTAGCCTCGACAAGCCCGTGCTCGGAAGAAACACCGCTGCCGGCGCACATCTCTACATCCGTCCCTGCATGCTCCCAGGGCCGGACTCTCGAAGCCTCGGCAGCCTCAGGCGGCGCCGATGGCGCCCACCGGGCAAGGTAGTCGGGTAAATCCGCGCCGGCGGCCCCCGTCTCCGCGGCCGGGGCCTTGTCCTCCACATCCGCCAGCTTGACGAACCTCACGCCGGATGCCTCCCTCGGTTCTGGGTATGACTGCAAGTCGCTTCCGGGGCCGCGGTGATGTCTGCCAGCCCACGATCGCCCGAGGGCTAGAGTGAAGGGCCTCAGTGATGGCAGGCAGGCGCACGCCGCTGCGCACCACAGTTCGATGGTCCTGTGCCGAGCGCAGCGTTCGACGGTTAGCTAGGACTTTTGGATTTGGCGGGTGCGCCAGGAGAAAGGTAGAGTTGGTTCCTGGGTAGGATCCGGATTGGGGGTTATAGTGGGCAGTGAGAAAAATCACCACGTGGCCACTTACGTCCAGATTGCCACAGACGTCCAGTGGGTGATGTCCGAGTGGTCTGCCAGGACAAAGGACAGGAAGGTCCGATAGATGGCGGCAACCGACACCCTAGGGAAATGCCAAAGACAAATCTCGAATTAGCAGCTAAGCGGCGAGGCACACGGGTCGACGACATGCCCGAGACTGCACCTACAATCCGCCGGCAGCGAGCGCACCGGCGACCTGCAGCTTGGTGCGCGTCGGCATCTGCAGCGGGCGGAGGATCAAAATGGGCATCGTCAGGATGGCAAGGTCGACGACGACGTTGACGGTGGAGCTGCCTATGACGATTTTGGAGAGGGGCCTGCAGGGCGGCGGCGGCAGGACGCCAGCAACACCCACGAACGACACCAGGTCGGCGATCCGGTTCACGCCCGACGCGCAGGCGGCACCGCCGCCGATGAAGACGGCCGACTGCACCGCGATGACCGCCATGACGACGTAGGCGGCCGCCCTGATGCTGGGGGAGCGGGTGAAGTTGAGGAGGTGCACCAGGATCGAGGCCTTGAGTAGCGCCATGGAGACGCTGTAAATGGCCGACACGGGCCCGATGTTGAGCTGCGCGGATGGAGGGATGGACCCGTCAGGATAAGCCCAAGGGGGGCCGGGCGCGGACATGCAACTCACCTTGGTAAGCACTATCATGTCGTTTATGTCGAACGACCCACTACCCGAGATCATCGCTCGAATGTATACGACTGCTGCAAACGACGTAATACTCTGGTGTCAACATCCTGCCTCGAAGGAGCAGTATTACCTGGTTGGAGGGTTGGCAGGCTATGGTCTCACCAATCGATTCTACAACGGCGGTTGCGATGGCAAAGGGCTAGTGTTTAGAATCGTTGGTTAGCTCTGCGTGAGCCTCGCACATGAAGCTCTCCAGAGGACGTGCAGACACCTTACCACAGCAAGGATAAATAACGCTGGAGACAACGCCGAAACTTGTGTTAGTTCTCAAGATCCATGGCGAAAGCACTCACGACGAGCCAGCCACCAGCGATGACAGGGGCACATACTGTCTTCCGTGGCCCACCTGCGGGTGAGGAACCTAGCCGTGTAGACTCGCACACTAGCCAAGACCATGACTATCGGTGGCAGTGTGCACAGTAGCAGATACCATGTGCGAGCCATCCGCTCCTGCTCGGCTGAGAAAGGGCGGCCATCGACATCCATGGCTTGCAACGTTGCCGACTGGAAAGAAAGTGCGCAAAAGTGGCTGTTATCGCATTAGTGTGAAAAAAAGAAGGAAGAAAAAACCGCTATCGAGATCAATGACCTACTGGGAAGCGGTCGGGTAGGATCAATATAAGGAAGATCAGTAGCCAAGGGGGCACTTGAGGGGAGACGCCGTCCGGCGTGAGAGATTCCATCCGAAGTCCAGCTCAACTCAAGACCGCCCGGGCCCCTCGACCTCTGATAAAATGGTCCGAGGTGCGAGGCGAGAAGCTGGTTTCCGCAACCCAATAGAGCCTAGAAGTAGTTGGTGTGAACCATCTTGCCTAGCCTTTGCCCTAAGGGCCCTAGCCGGCGAGCTTTCACCGGCCTTCTCAACACACCACTAGAACCACCCACCGGCACGAGGCTGAAGCGAGACAAGAGGCGCTTATGCCTCGCTCGGATCATCAACGGCAAGGTTCGCTGAAGCGCCCCAGTACCGCTTGATCTCGTCACTCGCAGATATCCCCAGCGGCATTGTGCCCCGCGTCTGCTATAGCCGCACGTCGTGCTCCTGGACCGTCAAAAAGTCGCGGCGCATTCGGTAGAAGCGTTCAGCGACATGGCGTCTCCCAACGACCTCGAGGCATCCGACCATTTCCACAAAGTCCCAGAAAGCAATTGGCCGTTTATCATACAGCCTCGGGAGGGTCTCGGACAGCATCGCGAGGGTCTCGGCCAGCATCGCAATCAAGTCAGGGCGCGGGAGCCTCTTAGCTAGACGAAGGCCAGGCCAACACACCTCGAGATGAACCTAAAGATGTCCCCGTAGTCGCACCCGGCGCCCTGTATCACGCGCAGCAGCCTCGCCATGTCCCTCATTGCCAGCTCTGGGTATTGTTCGATGTAGACCCCCGACTTCTCCTGGAGGAAGAGGAAATTGTCCAATCCCTCGAGAGACACCCAGCTGCCGACATGGCCTCCCGAGGCGCCAAGTTGGTCCGCGATGACCCGTATCTCGGCCTGTGTCGGAGTCACATTAAAGTGACACCAGCTTGATAGATCGTCGGCCGACACACCACCGTGGAGTGCTGAAATCCGTCGCGCAGCGTCAGCGCTACACTGAGCCATCGCAACCAGCAGAAGCTCCCCCGAGGCGTATGGACCTCCCAGAAGGTGGAATGCGGCTGTCATGATGACTGTGACTGGGTGATGGCTCCCCAGGTTCCGGGCGAGCGCCATGCCGCGGGTGTGCCTGATGAAACAAGCAGCCAGGTCGTAGAGCTTGGACTCGAGCAGTGCGTTGGGCACGCGAAAGCACAGCTCCATGAAGGACCTGCAATCAAGGCACCTGATAGACTCCTCGATATCGAGAAAGGCCTTGTTGACCAGATCCCAAGCCTCCGCCTCGTTGCCGTCCCTGAAGGCACGCTTGGCGACGATTATGCGGTATTCCAAAAGGCCGGTATCGGCCAACATATCGTCCAGCCTGATTCTTCCGCTCAGTACCCGGCCATTATCTGCGCAGAGCGTCGATAGGAATTGGGTGGTAGCCCTGGAGATGATTTCGATACTCCTGGCGTTGAGACTAACGTGTAGGAGTTGGCGTGTGATGTCGGGCATTCGGGGGTGTGTCCTGGCGGGCGAGGCGCGTCTCCTTCTGCCAGATAGTGGCTGGCCCGAAGCCATTGGCGTTCTCCGCTGTCGCAAAGATTGGTATTTGTTGAAACTCCAACGAGCAAAGGCGTTCTTGTACACCTTGTCGCTGGGGACTTGGTTAGCTTGATGGAAACAACGCTATGGAGATAAAACGTACGTCTCTCGGAAGTCGTAATCAGCCTCCATAATTCTCTTCACATCGCGGAGAGCGAGATTCTGGGTAATGTACAAGTCCTTGATGATGTTCTTGAAGGGTTCGATTGCTTGCGCTCGCGCAGTCGAGACTACAAACGACGTGCCTGACTTTGCATCCCCTGCCGAAGAGCTTGGGGCAGAGATGCCGGAGTCTACATTGGTAGCGCAATGGCTTCTTAGATGCAAATCGAACGATGAGATCGAAGTAGCGGGCTGGAGTGTCATGTTGGAATGCCAGTCTGGCGCAGCGGAGGGGCCGAAATCTGAGGCTTGATCCATCCCAATCGGCGCAAGCTCGGGAGGGAGAATATCCCAGTCGGGAAGCGGAAAGGCTGTGGTGAATGCGGCATCCGAAGTAGCACACTCGTCGTCCAATGGGAATTGGCCATCGTCTGGCTGCCCCTGTAAGCCGGCGAAGTAGCTCAGGTCTGCAGTGGGCGTGTCGGAGGAGGCATCAGACACTGCTGCTACTGGAGGGATGGTTTTGTATATGGCCATCTTCCAGGGCGTAAAGGCAGTCACTGCTGGCGACGGTCGAGAATGCGGTATGGCTCCAAACGCTTGTGCTTGATGGCGAAAGACCGACTGCGCGATAGCATTGAAGCGGAGGTGTGCATTGGCTGTCCGAGATGGCACAGCTCGGTGAGGTTTTATACGGGGAGACATGCTCGTTTCAACAGCTGTCGACCGAACCTTGCGGGTGGCGCCAGATGGCGTGGACAAGGCTGGGCGCTCCAGACAAAAGATCCCGGGGCTTGCGGTCTGCATAGTGTCGCGGAATTTGTTGCGCTTGACCTGCAGCAAAGAACGAAGTGGCAGGGTCAGCTCAGCCGCCGATTCGCCGCACTCGCAGCTGAACGACGCAAATCTGCGCTATGCATGATCCTCAGGAACTTGTTGCTTGATTGAACGGGTGTGGTTAGAAAAGGCGATCAGTAGGGGTTATACGGGGCTGTATCTAGCGTTGGAATACGTGGCAAGGCAACCAAGAAACGAAGCAATGAGGGAGCAAGTCGGAAGAAGCAAGAATTCTCAAGATTGGTTCGCCAGGCGATAGGATCATGGACGATAGGTTCATGGACATGACAGAAAATCCAGCAAGCGACTCGAAAACGTAGGTCCCCTAGCCTCGCCTAGGACGCCACCGACCCCCTCCTCCGCACCATCTCGGGCGACGGCGCCGTCGACCACCACAAGTCGGCGAGGTCCGCGTTGCCCACGTCGGCCGGGACGCCGACCCCCTTGACGCCGCGGGTGATGCGCCGGACGGGCATGGCGCCCGAGCCGACGAGCCACCAGAGCTCGTCGGCGACCACCTCGACGGCGACGCGGAAAACGTCGCGGAACCAGGCCGACTCCTCGTGCTCGTCCTCGACGCCGCGGTCGCGCGACGCCGCCACGGCGTGCACGTAGGGCGCGCCCCGCCGCCAGCGCCGCGAGTCGGCCGTCGGGGGGTCCGACGACGCGGCGGCGGACAGCACCGACTCGACGACCTCGGGGGTCGCGCAGAGGAAGATGGGATGTTTTAACCCCCCGGGAAGACTGGGGAAGAGCTCTTGGTATTTTCTGCATGGGTGGGTGTGGTGGGGTCAGTAAGTGTGTGTTGGGAGCGGATGGATCCCCAGCCGGCATGACGTCATCCCTCGAGTGTTTGTCCATCACCAGTTCAGCACGGCTCACCGTCTCAAAACGTCCATTTCAGCCCCCTGGAGCACAGGGTCCTCGACCCAACGCACCTCGAACGCAGCCCTGCCCCGCGCGACAGCTTCGCCGCTGCTCGTGCGCTTGGCCGCCCAGTCGAACGGAACCTCCACCATCTTCCCAAACGCCTCCTTGAACCGCGCCCACCGCGCCTCCTCCTCCTCCTCCTCTCCCTCACCTCCGTAGCACGCCGCCCGTATCGCCACGAACCCCCACGGCTCGCCCTCGTGCCTCTTGACCCACAGCCTGAGCCAGTTGGGCGGTATGTCGACACAGACGGCCTCTTCGGGGGCGCCCTGCACCGCCTCCGACCCCTGCGCGTGCCCCTCGAACGCGTCCGACATCAGAGCGCCATCGCTACACCGCCGCCCCGCCTCGACGTTCGGCGTCGCCATGGCCTCCTCGGCCGTAGGGAGCGACCGCGCAAAGTTGTGGCGCGCCATGGCGACGACCCCTTGCTCGCCCAGCACGTCGCGCAGCCCCGCCTGCATCTTGAGGAGCTCGCCGGGAGCCAGGCCGAGTATGTCTTCGGTCGTCGCGTTGCTATAGCGCTGGTAGTTCCAGCCGGGCGCCCAGTAGCTGCTCGAGTGGTCTCCGTAGCTCGGAGTGGTGCCGTCATCGTCCGCGGCCATTGTTGCGTCTCGCTGGTCGTGCTGCCGCTTTGAGCTCTGTAGAGTCTCTGGTAGGACTGATTGCGTCTGCATTCTTTCGAGCTGCTTCTGGCAGATGGTTGAAACAGGTACGAGATGTGTGCAGGTCTAATGTGTACTCAAGTAGCTAGGTGGTATTGCTATCTAGAAGTGTACCGACGTGATAGATATGTGTAAACAAATCAGCTACGTCAGAGACAGACAGTGATTGCTGGTGAGCGAGATAAGCTGCCTGTCAACGGGCGCCTAGAGCCAGCCTTTCACTCATATCCGTTTCGGTCAATCTTTCCCAAATTATCGACTGCCACCATCGTGTTGTGGATGCGATAAGGTGGTGAAGCTAGTGGGTATGTTGAGGCGAGCACTTGACGTCATCACATCATTACGGCCGCCCAGTGCAGTTGAGGCGGTGCTGGCGGCGTTCGTAGGGGTGCCTGCCACGTGCCTCCTATAACATTGCTTGACGCAAAGGCACCACAGGAGCTGTAACATAACAGAACTGCTTGATTACGGCAGATACGTCTGCAAGAACTAAGAAGTCGTGATAATATGCACAAGTCGACCAGTCTACAATATCGAACTCATCAATCGCGCCAACTAGTTTTCACTTCGACCATCGCCAGCGAACGCTGCGCTCCGCAGCCTGGGGCTGACCCTCCTCGGCTCGTCCTCATCGTCGATAGCCTTGGTGCTGGTTGCTGTAAAGGTACGAGACCGCTTGGTGCCCTTGTCAGAGTTCCCGATGTTCTGGGTCAGCGTCGCGACTGACGAGGTCGAGGCTGTCGCGGTTACCCCTGCCATGGGCGCCTGCTGGATCGATGACTCTGTCATGTTGGTGAGGCTCGCGCCAAACTCGCCCGCCGATGCGGCACGGGAGCCGCCCGTCGAGAACGCCGGTCTATCGCTGGACGAGTCAGATGTCACCCTGGAGAGAGCCCGAACTTGGATCTGCTGAATTTGATGTTGCGTTGGCTGCATGTGCGAAGGAGTAGCCGATGTGAATCCAAAAGCCGACTGAGAAAAGTTCCGCCGATCGACGTGGTCGAAACAGGGTGAGGCACTGGCTTCCGTCCCTGCAATACTGATGCCGCGGTTTTCCTTGCGAGATTTGATCTCCGACGCAGGCAGGGGTATCATATGCGGCTGGACAGGTAGTGGATGTGGTTGGTTGAGCAGTGAGTGCGTGAGCGTGGCTGCCAGGTCACTTGGGATAACCGAGTTTGGAATGTTGAAGGAGAAGGCTGGCGCTGTTTATGGCGAACAAGGATAACAGTGTTAGATAAGCTCAGCTCGATGGCATAAGTCGAAGAGGAAGGAGAGACAAAGATCAACCACTGCCTCGCCCTGTCACGAACCTGTTCCAACACTATTGTCGCCCACCACCCCGGCCGTGGGGGTATTGGTCGGTACCTTTAGATGCGAGCTGGCCAGGTCGTCTTCCATCATTGCCCCCTGCATCTGGAACACATCAAGGTTGACATGGCCGCTGGCGGAAGAGACGTAGTCGGGCATGCTCGCGTCTGTGCTGGAGTGCTTGCTCATTTGCCGAGCTGACATGGCCCATGCTGCGCTAGGGTCTGGGTTCCAGGAGTTCCCACCAAGGCCCGAGTATAGTCCCATGTACGCGGTCGTGTCGCTGAAAGGATCAGGGCATACCATTCCACCATTGGCCAAAGGCGCGCCTTGAGCAAGGACTGGAAATGGCTGGCCGAGCATCGGGTTGCCCAAGAGACCGGCTGGTTGCATCGCGACTGGGGCGCTTGCGGTCACTGGCAGAGATGGGGGAGCAGTCACCGTCTTCCCGCTCCTCTGAACGCTCTGTCGGCGAGGCGAGTGACCATGGGATTCCGCTCCTTCTTCGGATCGGTATGCAGGGACTGGCCGAGCGTCTACAAACGATGAACGCTTCCACATCTGGGGATTGGGCCAGGCAATGCCGTTGTTCTCGAGTATATCTGCGGGGTTGTATTACTACTAGTTAGTTGGACACTTATCAAACGTGGACCTTGAGCAGCCCTTCTACATACCCAAAGGGGCATGTTGGAACGAGAATGCCACAACGTTCTTGACTCGCTCGATCGGGTTGGTTAGAGAGTCACGGGGGAAACCCTCGCTGATGACGACCTTGATGCGGCCGATGTCGTCTCCGGGGTGCCAGTGGTTGTGGTAGAGAAGCTCTTGTCGAAAGTGTGGAAAGCGGAAGGGCTCTAGCTCGCCCGACTTGTTGAATTCTGGAACAGACGTATCCATGTCAGTCTCAGCCCCGCCATACGCCCTCCTCGGGCAGCATGTCTTGGCCGACGGGGATCGAACGGTATAGACATACCAAACGTGTTCGCTACTAGACAGGGCCATGTACCCGTACGGCCAAAGGTGGTGGAGCTGGACAGAGTCAGCCAAATCCGTCAGACAGGGGCACAACCCGGGGGCAAGACATACGCAGCGACCCGGCCATCGATGAAGATGCGAGCCTCAAACTTGGCGAGCTCCCAGTGCTTGCTGTAGTTCTTGGTGTACTGGCTGATATCAGGGGTGCGCCAGTTGTGGATCGATACGTGGAATGGGCTTCCGGCTGGCAGGCTGGGGATGAAGCACGCCATGATGGGGAGGCCGCTGTGCAAGCCGCGCTGCGAGGCCTCCATGTCAGGCACCACATGGCAGGCTACCTTGAACTCCTTCACGGGCACCTTGGCCTCCTGGCCGTCGTCAGGGGAGGCGTCCAGCTGTGTGGGGAATACAAGTATGTCCCAGTCATCGTAGCGCATGGCGGCGGCTCGGAGGTGGTTTGCTGGTTTGGTAGCTAATTGTTCGAGAAAAGATACCTCCAAAATACCCGTCCAACCACGGGACGATGGTTGGTGTTAAGAGGAGCGCAGCAAGTCTGTAGTCAACCATGGAACGCAGGTCGAATCTCTACAGACTGTTGGGAGCGAGCGCCACTCTCTCGAGTTTGTGTGGCCTCTCAAGGTATTCGCATGTGGAACTCGTGCCGTGTTGAGCTAGTTCTAGGAAGGAGCGCGATGGGAGCTCCTCACCTCGCCCAATGAGACGGCTCAGCTCGCCTCACCAAGGGAGGCATGACCCAACCGCGACAGCGAGCGAACACGGCAGGATGACCCAGGCGGCAGAAAAACGCTGAGGCGACTGGCCTGATCCTCCAACATCACGCGTACAACTGCCCAGAGATGCAGACGTCCGTTTCCCAATACACTGTTTGGTTCTCACATGCTGGTTTGCCTTGCCAATGGATAGTACCTACCACCTGCCACACGTTCGATGGTGTCGCTTGTTGAGCCGATTTTGACCCAAATAGTGACGAGAATTTCGTCAAGCGCGCCCGTTTCATCCCGGCAATTCGCTTGTCAAACAGAAGCTGCACACGGCCTGGGGAAAATTGCGTGTGCCTGATGAGGTATTTCGCCACATTCTTGTCGAGGCAAACGACCCAACGGCCGTAACCCGGAGTTTTTGTTACCAAGGAGGGGTCGAAGGGGAAAACCCAACCCCTTACGGGCTACATTCAAGTCACGTTCCCGGGAGTATGTGTCGTCATGAAGTCCAGCGAACGGGAATGCTCGTGAATATCGAAACGTGAACCTGACACGGGCGTGCCAATTGATCTATTGGAAATATTGCATTGCAATAGCTCCCAAGAAACCCTTTATGCACAGACCATTTTTGACCCTCCAAACCCCTGGTCTAGTACGGGCTCGCATCGCCTGGTGCTCTCGCCTGATAACGGGCATTACATGTCAGCATATTCGCGGCAAGACATCGTTAGTACTCCGCTAGAACAGTGTAAACATACTCTTGTGGCGCCAGGCCCTCCTAGCTCGCGCTCGAGTCCACCCTCAAATTCGCGGGGGTATGACTGCACATCGGGGTACGTGAGCTTGAGGCCTGCCAGGACGGCAAGAAAGACAGCAACAAATGCCCCAAACTGCACGGCTCCTTTGCCCGGCGTGACCCAGGTGTACTCGTGCGGCGTGAACATGCCGTGGATGTCGTAGTCCTCGTGAATGGGCTCGCCATAGTTCCTCCTCTCCTGCTTGTCCCACCAGTCGGCGTGCGGGTCGCGGAACTGACGCTTGATCGGGGGAGGGTTGACAAAGCCACCGTTCTATCCCGTGACAACCAGTTAGCACATGCCCGTTCCTGTTTCGAGGCATCTGGCCCCTCCATTCGCCTTGGTGCGCTCGCAGTTGCGCGGGGGGCCGTTCAGAGCGGCGCGGGGCGGCGCGAGGCTACCGACCATGTCCGGATCCTCGGAGGCTGGCAGCGAAATAGGGCCGGGGTACTTCTGTTCGATAACGGCCTGGCCATTGATCGACTCGGGGAGGAAGGTTCGGCGCTGGATGGTGGGCATTCGAACAGCCGTTCGAGTGAGGTTTCCGGGCACTGCCCGTACGATGCGGCGCGACAGCATCTGCGACGGGGAAATTCTGGGTCAGCATGAGCCAATTGAGCGAGCAGCGGCGAAACGCAGACGTACCTTGGCGTGGAGCGCAGCAACGGAGCTGTCGTGATTGACTGTCGAACGTCTTTGGCAGTGAGGGCGCGATTGAGCCGAGAGGGCTGTGGTGATGCGAGATGCCGATAGATTACCTAAGCGGTGGTCTGTGCCTCAGGCCCCATTTGGGCGCGCTGATGTGCGGTCCTCCTGGCCCGACTCGCGGAATTTTTGCAGGTTGCAAAGTTTTGCAGGCAGCATCGATCCCAAGACGAAATCGCGCCGTAGCCCGCTCCCCACGGCGCTGACGATGTCCAAACTTTGCATGAGAGTTACCTGAGCTTGGAGCATTCTGTAGACACCATTTTGGCCCATCCAAATGCGAGTTCGCTCGAGTTGCCCGTCCCATTCCCCCGCCGCCGCCCTGAGAAAACTATGACGGGGACCGCGTCTCCCGTCCCACATCGCCCAAACTCGGATGCGGTCGATAGCGCCAACGGCCAGAACGGCCAGAACGGCCATCCCAACGACGCCCGCCCATCCACCCCCGACAGCGAGATCGTCGACACCCTGAAGATCCTCGATCCGCTAGAACCAGAGCCTGAACCGGCCAGCGCCCCCTCGCCCTCTGCCAGCTCTCTGTCCGATCCGCTTTCCGAACCTCCCTCCGACGATGAGCTGCTTCCACCCTCGCCTTCCTATGGCCACATTGACCCTACAATCGAGACCCCCGACGCCGAGTCTGCGCCCTCTGGAAAAGACGACGATGCGCAACTTGACGGACAGGACGACGACGGTGATGACGATGGAGAACGCCCAGCGAAACGCCGCCGGGTCCGCGACCACACGCCACCACCCAAGACGCGAAAACCCAAGTTAGAGTCTCCGCCATGGAAGAGGATCGAAGCAGAGGGACCCACTACTTTTGTGGAAGAAGGCAGGAGAAGATCAGGCCGCATCAACTCGATCCCCCCAGAGCTTCAGGTAAAGAAGGCCGCCAAGCCCAGGAAGTCTCGTCTTGGCCCTCAAACAAGCCCGCCGTCCAAGAAGAAGTTTGCGTCAACCTCCGGTCACGCGCCGGGAGCTGCAGATGGCCATCCCTCCAGATCGTCCCGGCATTCTGGCCCATCCGGCAAAGCAACGGCTCCGCCAAAGCCTTCCCCCGCCGCGAAGGCGTCTGCTAAGAAGCCGGCGCCCCACGATACGAGGACATCCCAACGCACCCGAAGGCGATCCCCCTCCCCTCCCCCCAAAGACCCCAAAGACACCCCTCCGCGCATCTGCACGAACTCGTCGATCATCCCGACACACCCGAGACAGCCTTGACAATGGCCCGCTCGATAAGACTCCGGGCTCGGATACCAGGCAGTCCGAGGGCTCCCGTACGGCTCCTAGGATAAAGCTGCATGTGATACCCGCTACAATGCCTTTTGTTCACCCAGCGCAAGCAAAGGCCAGACCTAAGCTTGGTCCCACATTTGAGGAGTACTTCGAAACGGCACACAGCATCCCTGTGGAGGAAGGTGGCCAGCTCTGCACCGACGATGCGCCCCGGATCACAGACGAGGCGGCCGCTGAGGAGGCGGTTTTACTCGACAGGATCGAGAAGGAGGCAGAAGACGGTGGTCTCCTCTCCGAGGCCCGTTGCTCCATCTACGCGCCCGAAGGCGCCGACGAACCCCCGCGCCAGTGGGCGCATGCGGATCACATGGTCAAAGCAGTGGCCAACTTCAGAAGACTCATGTTGATGGAGCAGCAACGGCACCGGTCAACGGCGAGGAAATTAGCAGAGGCGTGCCGGGACGAATGGCTGCGGAAGCAGCCCAAGACTGCCGAGGAGCTGGAGCGGGAGGCTCAGGAACTGTGGAAAGGAACCTACTTCTCGGTAGTCCGGGCCCTTTTCGGCACCTGGGAGAACGTCAAGGTCGAGATCAACCGTCGAAGACTAGAAGAGTGGGAGGCTGAAGAGCAACGTCGGGTCAAGGCTGCCCTGCAGGAGGCTGTGCAGATCTCAGAGCAGAAGCTGCAGGCGAGGCGCGCGCACGCTGATTCTGATGGCATGACGGACGACGACAGCGGCATCGAGAGGTCCTCGGACGAGGAGGATCTTGATGAAGACGACGACATGATGTCTGGCCTGGAAAACACGATGGCTGACTCTGGAGCTGCAAGTGAGGTGGATGACGAGGACAACATGTCGTCCTCTGACGACGACGAAGATGCGAAATCCGCCGTCTCTGATGAAGGCCTCACGCAAGACCAGCTGCGCGAGAAGTATGCTCACTTACCAGCTCTGGAGATACCCGAAGGTGATGGAGACACTCCCAAGACGCCTGTGGGAGGATCAAGAGCTGGCGAGACGACGGGAATGGATGACGACACGAGCGACGAGTCCGTGGACATGGACGATGACCTCGGGTCTTCCGACATGAACAGCGACAGCGAAGACGACGAGGCCTCGGGCGATGATGCCGAAGACCAAGACGACGACGGCGATGATGATGGCGATGACGATAACGATGCGCCATCCAATCTCCTGGGTCTTTTCTTTGGCAAGTCTGAACTGAAGAAGCTGAGCAAGCAAGCGCAGACTCCCGAAGACGAGACGCCAGCACAAGCCGAAGCGACCGCGGTCCCTGAGGACCAAGCCCTCGCCAGTCCCGACACCAAGGTGAATGGGATCAACGGGGTGCAGCCCGCCGACAGTGTTCACGGCCCCGACTCCATGGCTGCGGCCAACACATTGATTTCGGTTCCCAACAGCAAAGCTCTTACCAATGGTGGCCTTGGCCGACCCTCGACTCCCGCCATGGGCGACAGTGCCAAGCTTCCAACTACCGCCCACCCATCAACCCACGAACTCTCTATACATCCCATCCCGGCGCACTCGCCCCTCGATGAGGACATGATGCTTGACTCCGACAAGGATACTGTTGACTTGGTTATCCCTCCACAATTCTCGCCCCTAACCGAGTGCCAGGATGAGCCTCCTGAGCTGTCTCCTGAGGGTTCTATCGTTGCTGAGGGTACCATCGACCCTCCAGTCGTCGGGAACCTCCAGCCATCGGATGTAATGATGAGTGACGCCTTATCTACGATGAGCGCTGGTCCTATGAAGGCGGAAGGCGCCGTCATCCCTGCTGCGGCAGAGGGAATTCCGTCGGGAGTCACACCTCCACACACATCCCAGGTACTGGGCTCTCAAGACGTTTCAACCATCAACGGGACACCAGGGCATCCATCACAGACAACTACCGCCCAAGCTGGTGATACCATGAATATCCCGCTAGCAGTAGATACCACTTTGATGGACGTCCCTCCCGACACTGGTGCAGGACCAGCGAACGGCCTACCAGACGTGGAAATCACGGCACCCGATTCGAGCGCCAAAGCCGCCAGCCCCGAGACGGATATCAACACGAACAATGCCGTCAGTCGGGATCCTAGTCAGTCGCCCCGTACGACTGACACAAAGCCTTCAGAGATCGATACCGTCACCTCGCCCGTGGAGCCTTCAGGGGCGCAGAAGGAACTCGGTCGCTCGACGTCGCCGCTTCCCAGTGGCGCCAACGCACCTAAAACCGAGATCCCCTTCCTCCTGCGCGGGACTCTTCGAGAATACCAGCACTACGGACTGGATTGGCTGGCTGGTTTGTACGTCAACAACACCAACGGCATCCTGGCGGACGAGATGGGCCTGGGCAAAACCATCCAAACCATTTCCCTGTTGGCCCATCTCGCGTGTCAGCACGAAGTCTGGGGTCCTCATTTGGTTATTGTTCCGACCAGCGTCATGCTCAACTGGGAGATGGAGTTCAAGAAGTGGTGCCCTGGATTCAAGATCTTGACATACTATGGCAACCAAGAGGAACGCAAGCGGAAGAGACAAGGTTGGACTAACGATGACATCTGGAACGTATGCATCACGTCGTACCAGATGGTTCTCCAAGATCAGCAGGTGTTCAGGAGGCGGAGGTGGCACTACATGATCCTAGACGAAGCTCACAACATCAAGAACTTCAAGTCGCAACGATGGCAGACGCTTCTTGGGTTCAACACTCAGGCTCGACTCTTGCTGACTGGAACGCCGCTCCAAAACAACCTTACCGAGCTTTGGTCTTTGCTCTTCTTCCTCATGCCGTCGGAGAACGGCGTGGGCGGGTTTGCGGATCTAAATGAGTTCCACGACTGGTTCGGCAGACCAGAATCGCAGATTCTGGAGAGCGGGAGAGAGCAGATGGACGATGAAGCCCGGGCTATTATCTCAAAGCTGCACAAGGTCCTTCGACCATATCTGCTCCGCCGTCTAAAGGCCGATGTTGAAAAACAAATGCCAGCAAAGTACGAACATGTTGAGCTCTGTCGACTGTCAAAGCGCCAACGCGAGCTGTACGATGGGTTTCTGAGCCGAAGCGATACAAGGGAAACTCTGGCGTCGGGGAACTACCTCTCGATCATCAACTGTCTCATGCAACTCCGCAAGGTGTGCAACCACCCGGACCTCTTTGTCGACCGCCCTATCATGACGTCCTTCCGAATGCAGTCGTCTGTGCCGGCACGCTTCGAGTCCACGGAGAGGCTCGTGCGCGACAAGATGTTCGCCCAGCACCCGCTCGGCTCGGTCAGCCTGGAGTTCATGAACCTGGTTCCTACCCGACATGAGCGTTTCTCTGACGGCTTTGCCGCCAGCGTTGCCGAATACAACTCCCACCGTATCCTCTGCGATCTCAAAGAAACACAGAAGAAACGAGCACAGAACGCGTTCATGCCTTTGGATCCTAGCACGGTGGAGTCCAGCATCATCTACCTGGAGAGCGCCTCGCGATGGGGCCGCTTTGAGGAGTTGCAACACTGCGTCTACCTGAACGCTCTTCGCCGCCAGCAGCGACCGATATATGGCACGCGCCTTGTCGAGCTTCTGACGATTGGGGTACATGAGCGGCCTTTCAAGCCAAGGCCCAAAGTCCCCAAGAAGGTCATGGAGTGGTTCGAGAACGACTCGTTCCTCCTTCACAACGCGGTCCAAACGCTGGATCGCCGGGCGGACGCAATGGAGATGACGATTACAAAATTCGCTTGCGTCACCCCCGCCGTCGTGACACGGGATCTGACGCCGTTCCTGCTCGGCCGGAAGGGCGTCGAGGCCTTTGAGGACGCCGACCTGACGCTCTCAGCCCCGGTCAAGACGCTGCCATTCATGCCCCGTGAGCGCCCGCACGACCCCTGGCACGAGGCGCGCATGCGTCTCTCGATCCAATTCCCCGACAAGCGACTACTCCAATACGACTGCGGGAAGCTCCAGGCCCTAGACCGGTTGCTGCGGAAGCTGCAGTCTGGTGGGCATCGAGCCCTGATCTTCACCCAGATGACCAAAGTGTTGGACATCCTCGAGCAATTCCTCAACATTCACGGCCACAAATATCTGCGCCTCGACGGAGCAACCAAGGTGGAGCAGAGACAGATCCTGACGGACCGCTTCAACCACGACAACCGGATCTTGTGCTTCATCCTCTCTACTCGGTCCGGCGGGCTCGGCATCAACCTTACGGGCGCCGATACTGTCATCTTCTATGACCAGGACTGGAACCCTGCCATGGACAAGCAGTGCCAGGATAGATGCCACCGTATCGGGCAGACGCGCGACGTACACATCTACCGGCTCGTCAGTGAGCACACAATCGAGGCCAACATTCTGCGAAAGGCGTCGCAGAAGCAGATGCTTGACGACGTCGTTATCCAAGAGGGAGAGTTCACGACCGACTACTTCAACAAGATCTCGATACGCGACGTCATGAACGACGGCGATGGTGGCAACCCCATTTTAGCGCAGGGCGACGAGGCGGCCAATGCAGCCATGGACCGAGTGCTAGGTGGGGTGGAGAGCACTGACACGCGCACGGCTGGCCGAGTCCTCGAGCGGGCCGAGGACCGCGAGGACGTGGACGCGGCGCGGGCGGCCGAGAAGGAGATCCAGCAGGACGACGCCGACTTCAGCGAGAAGCCGCAGGTCCCGGCCTCTGGCGCGCCGAGCACGAGCGCGGGGACGCCCAGGGATGGCACGCCGGCGGCGGGCAACATCTTCTCGGACCCAGCGGGCGACGTGAACGCCGCGCCCGAGGCGGCCGCACCCACAGAAGCGGTCGGGGTGGAACAAAACGCTTGGGGAGAGCGGATGCGGACTGTCGACGACCACATGCTCGGCTTTATGGCGGCGCAGCTCGAGGGGACCCCGCTGGATCTGCCCAAGGACAAAAAGAAGAGCAAGAAGAAGGGCAAGGACACTCGGAAGAGGTAGCACTGGTGTCGGATTTGACTGCATCTTATTTGGCCACACTCTTGAAGGACGAAGAATGACGACAGCAACTGTAATATTTGACCACGAGCGAGCAGGACTGACCGGCTCGCCACAACACGACGGCCGTGTTGTATTTTTACCCCCTCCACTTCTCATGCCTTGGATGCCTCCCGAGCGTGTTCCTCTTCCAACGTTTTATCATTGTCGGTTGTATTCTCTTTTTTGGGGTTTGTGCTTGTGGTTGTTCAAAAAGCCGCGTGGGACCATTGGGGAGAAGCAAAAAGAAAAAGGCGCCATTGACATTGGGAGTCGATAGATTGGGCATGGCTGTGGTGCATGGACAGGTATCATATAGAAGCTCGATTATGATCGAGTCACCCGGCGGGTCTGTCAAATGTTCAACCCTCTCTCGCAGATGTGCGTCCCTTGTGTCTGGACTCTGAACTGTTTGGCTTTGCTATCGTGGAGATTCTATCACGGGGAAAGAAGCAATTGGAAAACAATGGGGAAAGGTCACCTCGGACAAGTGCTTTGGCGTCTATTAAAGGAGCTAAAATGATGGAACACTATATCCCTCCTTTCCATATCAGCGACGGGAAAAGGGCGGATAGTTCGGTGTGTCACGACGGCTCCTCGGGATAGCCGACCTTGGCACACCCCTTCCTGCGCCGAAAGCCCTAGCAGCCCCAATGCCTCAAAAATTGTGGACGTGTGGCGACCCCGATGCGCGCCGGCCCAGATGCCACCGCCACCACCGCCAGCTCGGCCAGATGTACGGGCTCGCCGGGACTCTGGGAGCAGTGCGGCCGAGGAAGATGTTGGGCGAGGGGTGGGTGCCCTTGTAGCAAGCAGCCCCCTCTTCCGAAGTTACGGGTGGTGGACGTGGGGCGACCTCGGCGTGTTGGGCCAAATCATGGCGCCGCCGCAGGAGTGCGGAAATGTAAAGTGTTTGATCGAGAAGGGCTTCATGGGGGCTTGCTTCCCTTCCGCCGTGGCTACGAGGTGGCGCAAGGCCTATTTCCGCACTCTTTGTCGTTTTCAGGTGTGTCTTTGGCTGCTGGCGTGTTGGACGGAGCAAGCCAAAAATGTTCCTCGGACAGCCACCCAGTCGTGGAGCGGAGTGCATGATATCAAATACCACCTAGTCAGTAAACAGTGTCCATGGTCGCCCCCTGGGGCTGGAATGGCCAGCAAGACGAACCTGAGGGAGCGGCCCGGCGGGAATCTAACCAAACCAAGCGCTGCTCGGTCCGAGTCCACGGACATTAGGAAGGGGCTGAGGCTGGACGGCGTCCCCGGATCGCATCAAGTGCTGGGCCTAGCAAGGGACCAGCGCGGGTGTTGGCCAGCTTTTGGGGGGCGCCCTTGGGCGCAAGGACGGGCGCCATGGATTCAAAGCCCCATCCCAATCCCTTGGATGTTGGCGATATATTACCGGAGGGTGGGCCCGGCTTTTTCGAAGCTGGGTGGGCGACTGATCACCATCCCTGGGGTTTCGTTTGGGCCGCAACACTCCTTTCGCGGCCACGGCGCCTTCGATTCACTCATTTGCAGCGTTCTATTTGCTAGTACTATCCGATTCCCTTTCATTTCTTCCTTCGATACCCCGTCTCTTTGAAGCACCAAGTCCCGCAGAGTAACCATGGTCCACTTTACGCTCCCAACCATCTTCCTCCTCGCCGCCGCCGCCGCCGCCGGCCTCGCCTCGGCCGCCGCCCCCGTCTCCACGAGCGGCAGCTGCGGCGGCGCGGCGGGCGGGGCCACGTGCCAGGGCAGCGCGTTCGGCAACTGCTGCTCGCCGTACGGCTACTGCGGCAGGACGGCCGCCTTCTGCGGCGCCGGGTGCGACTCCAAGTTCGGCACGTGCGACGACGCCGGCGCCGGCGCCAAGGTCAGCAACGACGGCACCTGCGGCGGCCTCACGCTCTCGGGCGGCGCCGGCAGCGGCAGCACCTGCAAGGGGAGCGCGTTCGGGAAGTGCTGCTCCGAGTACGGCTTCTGCGGCGACTCGGACGCGTTCTGCGGGGCCGGCTGCCAGGCCGGGTTCGGGTCCTGCAGCAGCGCCGCGGGGTCGGGGTCGGGGACGACGGACGTAAAGGCCACGCGGGATGGGAGCTGCGGCAAGGCCAACGGCGGGACGACGTGTGCGGGGGCCGGGTTCGGGAGCTGCTGCAGCGCGTACGGGTATTGCGGGTCGACGTCGCTGCACTGCGGCCAGGGTTGCGATCCCAAGTACGGTACTTGCAGCGGTGGCGACAGCAGCAGCAGCAGCAGCAGCAGCAGCAGCAGCAGCGCCAGCGCCAGCGCCTCCAAGTCGTCGGCTTCTTCGGCCAAGGGAACCGTAGCCGGCACCACCTCCGCCGCCGCGTCGCCGACGGTCAAGGCCACGCCTGACGGAAGTTGCGGTGGCGCCAACGGCTACAGCTGTCCTGCTGGCCAATGCTGGTATGCTTACCTTTTTTCCCCATCTCTTTTCCTGTACACCCTTGTTGTGCTGGAACGTTTTTTCAAACATCAACAGCTAACCACACGACTACCCCCCAGCTCCAAAAACGGCTGGTGCGGCACCTCGGACGACTTCTGCTCCTTCGGCTGCAAGGCGGCCTTCGGCACCTGCCAGGCGTGCCCGGGCTCGGCGTGCAGCAGCACCGTCCAGGGCGGCTCGCCGACGTGCGGCGACGACGGCGGCAAGTGCTTCGTGCAGGGCGGCAAGAAGTTCATGGTCAACTGCGACGGCAAGCTGGCGTCGGGCGACTGGGTGGACGGCGGCGACACGTCGTCCATCAACACGCTCGCGGCCTGCGTCGCGGCCTGCGCCAAGACGACGGGCTGCGTCGTGGCCAACATGTACACGGGCATGGGTCAGAAGAGCTGCTCGCTGCTGGGGTCCTTCGCGGGCCGGCAGACGAGCTCGGGGGCCGTGGGGCAGTTTGCCTATGTCAAAAGCAGCGGGTGTTCTTGAGGGGTGGTTTTCTACTCTCTTGCAGCCTTTGCAGTCTTGGTCGGTTTGTTGGCGCCATCACAAATATTGAGCCCCCACAGAGGTGGCGCCTGAAGCGGGGATTATTTACTGCTTCCCCACACTAACGCAGGCCAAGGTTTACGGGTGGCGTTCCGCTGCCGGCTGGGCGTATGGTCCTGATTCAGCTCTTGATTCAATGCATTCGTGCCTCGTCTTGGCCATTCCAGCGACTGTTGTAGAGGTTTACTGCTTTTGTTTTGACTGGTAGCGGGTTAGACGAGACGGATAGACCGTAGTGACACGGGCAGATAAATCCCTTCCACACCGACTCACCTCCCACGCGACGATCCCACCCCTCCGCAAAACGCACCCAATCAGAGCACCCTCGGCTCTTTGTCGGAGCCATCAAGGCCCCTCAGTGCTCCTCCTGTGCCGCTGCATCCCACTTGCCGGGGGCTGGGAAGGATTGAGCCAGCAATAAATCCTTGGGGTCGTCTGGCTGAGTTGCCCCGATATTTGCTGCATCCGATTCTGATGGAGGGTAGCGGGCAGGGCACATGGAGACGCACATGGACAAGCCATGGATGTGGGAGGAGCCGCTCAGAAACATGTCGGTCGGCGTTGGTCGGAAAAGACAACCAGACCAGGGGGATCGGCTAATAAAATAACTCTGCGGTCATGTGCCGACTGATGCGCTGCTGCTGCTGCTGCTGCATGACCGACGAGGGGGTCTAGACGCGTCAAAAAGCTTAGTCTCGGCCGCCCCCGAATCCTATTTTACCCCCGGCGCTTCCCACCATCTTTCTCCGGTGCTCTTGGACGCACTCTTCGCTGCGCTTCTTGGTGGCAGGCGAAACATCGTCTCTGCCCGTCGACGACCGGCTTCGTGGTGCCCATCCGAATAAGTCAGAGCATCGTCGACAATGGCTTCAACCAACGAAAAGCAGTCCGTAGCGGCCCCAGACGTAGACACGGCCGAAAACAGCAAGCGGGAGTCGGGGTCTGCTGTCCATGATGTATGCCAGCCCCGGTATTACTCGGCAAGACAAGACCGCGACAAGACACAGACGCGCTGACCCAAAGCCAACAACCAGGAGTCGATGCTGCCCCAGTCCTACACCCCCGAGGAGGAGCAGGCGGTGGTGCGGAAGCAGGACATGGCTATCCTGCCGCTCTCGGCCGGCATCTACTTCCTCTGCTACCTGGACCGGTCCAACATCGGCAACGCCAAGATCCTCAACTCGAGCACCCGCAACGACATGCAGAGCGAGACGGGCACGAGCAACTACCAGTTTACGATAGCGCTCATGGTCTTCCTTATCGCCTACGCCATCTTCGAGGTGCCGTCCAACGTGCTGCTCAAGAAGCTGCGCCCCAGCCGCTGGATCGCCTTCCTCATGTTCTCGTGGGGCGCCATGACCATGGCCCTGGGCGGCGTGCACGACTTTGCCGGCATGGCCGCCCTGCGCTTCCTGCTGGGCATGTTCGAGGCCGGCCTGTTCCCGGGACTGGTCTACTACCTCACGTTCTGGTACAAGTCGGACGAGCGCTCGCTGCGCGTCGCCCTGATCCTGGCCAGCGCCACTCTGGCGGGCGCCTTTGGCGGCGCCATCGCGTACGGCATCGGGCACATGAACGGCGTGCACGGCCTGTCCGCCTGGCGCTGGCTCTTCATCCTCGAGGGCATCCCGAGCTGCCTCTCGGCCGTGCTCGTCTGGTTCCTGCTGCCCGACTACCCGGAGGAGTGGTCGGGCCTGTCGACGCGCGAGCGCGACGTGGCCGCGGCCCGCCTGGCCGTCGAGGGCTCCAAGAGCAGCCACAGCTCCATGAGCTGGGCAGAGGCCGTCGGCACTCTGACCGACTGGCGCCTGTACGGTCACTACGTCGTCTACTTTGCCATCTCGGCGCCCTTTAGCAGCCTGTCGTACTTTACGCCCACCATCACGGCCGGGCTGGGGTTTTTCGACCTGCACGCGCAGCTGATGACGGTACCGCCTTATGCGGTGGCTTATGGTGCGTATATCGGCTGCCTCTGAAGTTTTGTCCCCTGACCGACCAATGTCTCTAACATGAAGAAAAAAAAACCAGTCGTCCAAATCCTCGTCAGCTGGTCCGCCGACCGCACCAACGCGCGCGGCCTGCACGCCGCGGCCCTCGCGGCCGTCGGCGCCATCGGGTTCCTGGTGTCCGCCCTGCTTCCGCCCACGGCGTTCCTGCCGCGGTTCGGCTGCCTGATCGTGGCGGCGGCGGGGGCCTTCAGCTGCATCCCACCCATGCTGGGGTGGCTGTCGTCCAACGTGCACAGCACCGCGGCCACGGGCCTGGCCATCGCGCTCAACGTCAGCTTCGGCGGCGGCCTCGGCCAGATCCCGGGCGTGTGGATCTACAAGGCCGACGAGGCGGCGAGGGGCTACCCGACCGGCCACCTCGTCAACGCGGGCATGATGTTCTTCGTCGCGGCCGGGTGCGTGGCGCTGCGGGTATACTACGGCTGGCTGAACGGGCGGCTCCTGAGGGAGAACCCGGCTGGCGACGTGCGGCTATATAGGCTGTAGAGGGGATGGATGGATTGGATTGGCGGTGATGGGGTGATGGGATGGGGAAGGATTCACAACTGCCATATGTTAGGATCGACATCCTGTCCTCCATCCCCACATGGCCAGGGAGGCCTGGGGAAGCAAGCGAAAGACAGGAAAAATAAATCCCGACTGCCCTGTCTCACAAATATCGACGCCGACCCTGTGCACCGACCAGTTATTTCGTGTGCTGCAGCAACAAAGCCGACGGGTCTTAATCCGTGCTCCATCGCCCACACAACATCTCGGCTTTTTCCATGCCATCCTGGACCATATCCCTAGACTTGCCCCTAGCCCAATCTAGCCACGGCATTTTTGTGACCGAGCCCGCTGTTGCTGGTTCAAGCCAGGCGGGTGGTGATGTGAGGAGCAGGAGGTGAGGGGTCAGTTACATCGCAAGCCGGTTAGAAGTAGATGGCAGCCGTTTTTGTCTTGTTTTTCCCCACCAAGCAAACCGCACCTGGTTCCGGCCTCTGCCCTCCGACTAGATACACCGCTGCGGTGTTTTTGCTTCCGGCTGGCACGCCGAGTCGACATTTTCCGTGCAACATCTCCAGAAGAATGCGGAGCAGCATCTTTTTGGGCAAGGTGTTGGGGACGATCCGCCCTGAAGTCGCGGTGGAAATGCGGAACGGCGCTCTCAAGAGCTGGGGCGCGCCATGGCTCGAGGTCAATAAATAGGCTGTCTCCTGGCCGGCTGGGAGTTGCTGAAAGTCTTTCTGTATCGCCACCCTCGATCACCATCCTCAACTAAACACCTTCGCCCGTGGTCTCGCTCCAGCAACAGAGCAAAACCGCCACCATGGTCACCATCAAGGCCCTCCTCGGGCTCGCCCTCACCCTCTCCGCCCACCTCGCCGCCGCCGAGCCCCTCCACCGGCGCCAGGACACATCGGACGTGCCCGTCGAGCTGGCCGCCAACCCGTCCACGGGCTGCAACAAGGCCCCCACCATCACGTCGGGCACCAAGTCCATCACCGTCAACGGCCGGAACCGCCAGTACGTGGTCCGCGTGCCCAACAACTACGACCGCGCCCGCGCCTACCGCCTCATCTTCGCCTTCCACTGGGTCGGCGGCACCATGAACGACGTGGCCGGCGGCGGCACCGACCGCGAGCTGTGGTCCTACTATGGGCAGCAGCGCGTCGCCGGCGAGGCCGCCATCCTCGTCGCCCCGCAGGGCAACGGCAACGGCTGGGCCAACTCGGGCGGCGAGGACATCGCCTTCGTGGACGCCATGGTGGCCCAGCTGCAAGGGGGCCTGTGCGTCGACACGCGCCAGCTGTACGCCATCGGCTTCAGCTACGGCGGGTCCATGAGCTACTCGATCGCCTGCAGCCGCGCAAAGGTCTTCAGGGGCGTGGCCGTCATCAGCGGCGGGCAGCTGAGCGGGTGCGCCGGCGGCTCCGACCCCATCGCCTATCTGGGCATCCACGGCATCACCGACGGCACGCTCGGCATCGCGAGCGGGAGGGGCCTGCGGGACCGGTTCGTGCGCAACAACGGCTGCAGCAGCATCAGCCCCAGCGAGCCGGCGCGCGGGAGCGGCGTCCACGTCAAGACCGAGTACCCGGGCTGTAAGGCCGGGTTCCCCGTCACCTGGATCGCGTTCGACGGCGGACACTGGCCCGGCGCCGTCGACAACGGCCCGGAGAGCGGCGCAAAGTCGTATGTGCCCGGCGAGATCTGGGGTTTCTTCAACAAGCTGACTTGAGAGAAGTGGGGGTCATGTTGTTGGTGGTGGTGGTGTTGAGCTGGTGGCTAGTGGTCTGTGTAGCCGACGGTGTTTTCTATTCTTGCTTGTGTGCTGTTTTCGCATGCCTGCCAGCTGCCCGTCGCAACCATTCGTTTTGCTGGCACCTTCTCTGTCGTTGTTTTGCTTCATCCTGTACATAGTTCTTTTGATAGCCTTTGTTTACCCGTCTCCGTACATACCTACATACAACTCGGAACCTTCCTGATCAATCTCACAGCAGGAAGATCATGTCAAAGCTCTAAAATCACAGTCGAGCTCGCATCAACCATCCCATCAACCCACCGGCATTCTGCAAGGCCAGCAGCCCTTTCCCGCCTGGAGAGCGCCAAGCCCTCGGCATCAACGGCCGGGAGCCAGAAGCAGCACAGGCCCCGTCGTTTGGTGCCGATGCAAGCGTGCTGCACTGATACGGCGCCTACCCCGCACGGGCACTATCGCCATGCAGTCTGGGTGCGCCGCCCGAGCTGGACGGATTGGGTTTGGAGGCGGCAGTTGGAGGGAGTCCGTTTGCAGCTCTCGGATTCGCTGGCTGGCTGGCTGGCTGGCTGGCGAACTGCGAGGGCTGTGTCTGTACCCCGAACGAGCCGCGCTGCCTGCTGCTCCATGCTCCCTCCCAACAAGGCAGCTCCCGGTTACCTGCTCGCACCCCCCACACGCACCTACTGTGTAACCCATCACTACGACGCAAAAGGCAGCTGCAATAAGAAAACCAGCGTTTGCGGACCCAATACCACGCGGCTTTGAGTGACCAGGGGGTCCTATTGGTCACTGTATTGCAGAGCCATCATGAACTCGGGAAAGGAGTCGCATGGTCCGACGCGCCCCACTGACAAGACTGATGCGGATCGGGGCCATGCTAGCGTCCACCATCTTGATAAGAGGACTGGACGGGGGCTACACGAGATGGCGAGCATGTCAAGTCAAGGCAAAGCGCACCGCCCAGCGAGGTACTACCAACAGCAGCCGGGAATCGACACAGCATTGGACCGCTGGAGGTTAGTGGCCATCATGATCATGGTCGTACCCATCGTTTGGGCACTGGCCGTCGCTCTAGCCGGCCGGGGCGCGGTCGGCTTCAGCATCCCCTTTGACGCGTTCCGATCGCTCAGCGGCCTCCACGGCGCCTCCCACACCACCACCGCCGCCTGCGAGCCGGCCACCTTCAGCGCCCTGTTGCCCGCCAACGCGGTCGTCGAGAACGTCACGTCCGTCCCCGAGGGCGGCACCTTTGGCGAGGGCGAGGCCAACCTGCTCTCGCCCAAGGACCCGACGGGCCTGCCGCGGCTGTGCGCCGTCATCGTCAAGGTCGCGAGCTCGCCCGGCTCGAGCTTCCGGTTCGGCATGTTCCTGCCCACGGCGCCGGGCCGGTGGAACGGGCGGTTCCTGGTCGTGGGGAACGGCGGGTTCGGCGGCGGCATCACGTGGCGCCAGATGGCCGAGTCGGGGCCGCACCACGGCTTCGCGACCCTGGCGACCGACACGGGGCACAACTCGAAGCCCCTGGACTCGGACTGGGCCCTCAACAGCCCCGAGTCGAGGACCGACTGGGGCTGGCGCGCGCTGCACGAGTCGGTGGCGCTGGGCAAGAAAATCACGCGCGCCTTCTACGGCCGCGGCAGAAAAAAGGACCGCATGTACTCGTACTATTCGAGCTGCTCGACGGGCGGGCGCCAGGGGCTTAAAGAGATCCAGATGTCGCCCGACAGCTTCGACGGTGTGCTGGTCGGGGCGCCGGCGTGGTGGACGAGCCACCTCAACACGTTCGCGGCCAAGACGGGCATCCATAACCTGCCGTTCGACGCACCGCACCACGTGCCCGTGGAGCTGTTCGCGGCCATATCGCGCGAGGCGGTGCGGCAGTGCGACGGCGACGACGGCGTCGTCGACGGCATCATCTCGGCGCCCGACGAGTGCGGCTTCAACCTCGGCGCCATGCGCTGCGGCAACCCGGGTGTCAACGGCTCCGAATGCCTGACCGACTCGCAGATCCAGACGGTGCGCAACATCTACGCCGACTGGCGGCGCGAGGGCGCAGCAGCAGCAGACCCCGCCTCCGCGACCACCACGTACAGCGGGGGGCCGGCACCGCCAGTCAAGGCGGCGTCGGCGCCCGCGGTACTCGGGGCCGACGAGGACCTACTATACCCGGGGCTGAACCCGGGCACCGAGGAGGGCTGGCACGTGCTCTTCAACGGCACGGAGCCGAGCCCGTTCGGCTCAGGCTACATCCGCAACTTCCTGTTCGACGACCCGGCCTGGGACTGGCGCGCCTTCAACGACAGCATCCTGGACCTCGCGGCGAGCGCGGACCCGGGCGGGCCGACGGCGGACCGGTACGACATCACGCCGTTCCGGCGGCGAGGCGGCAAGGTGCTGCTGTACCACGGCACGGCCGACGGGCTGGTGCCGCTGCGGGGCACGCACCTGTACTACGAGCGCACGCGGCAGGCCATGGGCAAAAGAAAAGACGACGACGACGACGACGACGACGACGGCCTCGGCGACTTCTTCCGCTACTTTTTGGTGCCGGGCATGGGCCACTGCGCCGGCGCGCCCACGGCCTGGTCGTTCGGGGCGTCGGGGCAGGCGAGCGCGCTCAACGCGTCGGCGTGGTCGGTGCCGGGTTTCGCCGACGAACGGCACGACGCCCTGCTAGCGCTGGTGGGCTGGGTCGAGGCCGGCAGGGCCGTAGACCAGATCGTGGCCACCACGTGGAGTGACCCCCAGGACGCCGGCTCGGGCGTCGACAGCCAGCGCCCGCTGTGCCCCTTCCCCAAGCGCGCCGTTTGGGACAGGGTCGGGGATGTGCGCGAGGCGGGGAGCTGGAGGTGTGAGTAGGGAAAGCTGTGGTAGGTGTGGGTAAAATGAGGGAAGCCGGGGTGCGGCGCTGTGGGTAAAATGCAAGGGATGTGGATAACTGTGGTGTGGGTAAAACTCCGATTTACTAAGGGCACCTATTGAATTTGGTACCAAGAGGGGCTGGAACACGTGCCGGGACACCCTGCAAGCAGAGCGGAAGATTCCTAAATTTTAGCCGCCCTCCGTTACCTTTCGGGTCCCCTCTTGGCCTGTGCGGCGCAGCGGGGGCCCTCCCTAGTGGCTGTGGAGCTGCCCGCATCGACCAGCTCCCACAGCCACAAGACGACGGTCCCCAGCCCCGTGAGACGGGCTGCCGTGGGGCCCCAACACCACAGGCTGCGACGGATGTTGTCAGATGAAGGAGGCAAAAAAACAACAAAAAAAACATCACCGCAACGTCCAACGCCAGGCTCAATTCAGCTGATCGACATGCCGGGAAATCACTTAATGCGTTCCGCTTCCCCGTGCGGGGGTGATGACAGATTCGGGAATTCGTAATTCTAGTACGGGGCCTGACCTCAATGATCTACGTGATTTGGCATCCGCTCAGACAGCTCTGACAAGCCAGAAACGATTGCAATCTCCCCGTTCATCTTGTCTCCATGCCACAACATATATCGAACAAACAACAAACAGAGAGTGACAGATAGCAGCCGACAAGAAACGAAACCTGGGCCCTCGAGGGAGGGACAGCCTTGTCCCCGGTGGACCCCAGCCATGTTAGCGCCGGGAAGAAAGACATTAAGCTCAAACCGCATAGCATGAGCCCTCCCCGATCTGGGCGCCTAATTTTCGGTCGCAAGGCCCACACCCACGCACGACGCCATCATCCTCAGGCCAACAGAAACAAGCGAATGCCTTGCGGGCAGGGCAGTACGCGTCCATGGCGGCCCAAACGACACCACGCCCAGGTGTGCGGCCCTGCGTCCGGATCATGTTGTAGAGATCCCGGGGGGAAAGTCATGGGTGGGCGTATCGGCAAGTCCCTCGTGGCATTGTCATTCTTTACCCATGGCCAGCTGAGCTTGAGCTGCATGCGGGTGGTTGTTGGGTGCCCGTTCCTGAGCTTCCTGCTAGCCACGCGGGGATTCCAAGCGGGAGACACAGCCCTCCCACGCTGCACGGAGCCTTTTTTTTTTGTCCCTGGCGGCCGCCAATGGCTGCGAGGGCTGCTGGTTCAGACGTGGTGCTGGTGCTTACTCCACAGCCTTGTGGGTCCAGCTAGCTAGATCTGGTACGTACCGTGCACAGACCACTTACGGCGGCTGGCGTGCCGGTCCCCAACTCACAATAGCTTGAGAGCCCGATCGGACAGGGGTTTCCAAAAATGATGGTTGTTGGAGTCCCAGAGTCCGAGCCTTCGAGCCCCAGATGTGCATGGCTTTCCAGCTTGGCCTGCATGATGGCGACGCACGCCTAGACCTACGTCCTGGTCTTACGTCAAGCCACTACGACACCCTCCCGGCTTCATCGTGCATTGCATGGCCTATTTTTGCTCCTCTCGACTGCCGTTGATGTGGCGCATCCGATGTTTGTGTCACAGCCGCTCACCGTCTTGATTTCACCCTCCCCCTCGTAACGTCATTGCCCCAGCTATCCCGCATAACTCTCACGGGGGAGCAGCGACTGCGCAGCAGATGGGCTCGACCGCTGGCACAGTCGCCGTAGATGGTGCGTGGGTGTCAAGGTCGGCCCCCAAAGACTTCGAGTTTCAGAAACGGCCTCCGGGGGAGCCCGAAATTAGGCTTCCTTCACAACGCTGGAGAATGCACCGTCTCTGTCTCGTGTTCCTTTCGATATAGTAAGCATGGACAGCAACAAAACAGGATGTAAAACAGTGGCCAGGCAAACAGAAAACTGGAATAAGATCCAGATGCAAATACAAACGCGCAATCTTGGTCAAATTGCCGCAACAACACCAGGAAATCAAATCAACAAACGCATCGTACTATGCAAGCCGCCGCCGTCACACCCTGGCAATCTATGCAGACCGTCCCGTGATTTGGCACCTCCCAAGCCTCGCGTAAGGACGCTGCACGTTGGCAGCCCGTTGCTCTCAAACTTGATCATCGTGGGAGGGGCCGTCTTGGCCTGGCTGGAGGGCCAAATGGCAGGGCTACTCAGCCGAAATCGAGGCACGTTCCTCGGCCTCACCGTTCCATTTTCTTGGGGGTGCACTGGGGGGAGCAGCAGGACTACCTTGACCACATACAGACGGCCATGTACTTACTGTTCAAACCAGCCGGATTGCACTGTCCCCCACCCCCCAAAAATCGTTCCTGGGACCCGCTTGTGCTGCGGTGACAGGGGGCCCTGGACTGAGGGCCTGAGGGAGCACAACACAACCGCCGACGGTGGGGCTGTCGTAACCGTCGAGCTCCCTGATTGGCGTGGCCAGCCAGCCAGCGTTGGCGGCCTGCGTGAAGGAACACAAGCCGCCAGACCCCCGCCTCACTAACATCGACAGATAGCAATGCAAGCCGCCTGAGACCCCTGGTCGACGACGTCTGCCGCAACCTCCTGTCGCCAAACACATTCCTCGTCGTCCGCCATATATCTTGCCCCGGATCTCTGCCCCCATCGCTCATCATGGCTTTCCCCTCTCATCCGTCCCGGCGATCTCGCTATCAGATCCCCAAATCTCGTCCCGCCAAAACGCCTCGCGACCAGAAACGAGACCTGGTCGCGGCCCGCAGACGACTCACATCAACATCACGCTGCCTGCTCAGCCACCGACCCAGGGGCTCCCGCCGGCATCGACGCGGGCTTATATGCGGGCGCACCTGCTCTCCAACATGAACTCGCCTTTTCCCGACAACTACGCCCAGCACTACTTTGACAACACACAGAGCGCAAACATGGAAGGACATTCATCAGGTGAGTTGCGGGCTTGCGCTGCATGTCTACCTGCTTGGTGGACACTAGACATGATCAGCGCTGATGCGAGAACAACTAGGAACGACAGCAGGCCTCGGCGGCTTCGAGCCGAGACAGCTGCCTCTGCTCCAGCTCCAGACGCAGTGGCCGTCTTACCCACTTGTTGACCATTCCGTAGCTTCTGGCTCAGCGAGCGTCGACGCCAGCGGCTCCGAGATTGGCTTCGCGGACCTAGCGTCGTGGTCCAACACGCCTCTCCCACAGTCCGACTCGCCCCTCCCCCACAACACCACCATCCCCGGCGGCTACACCCACGTCGCCGGCGCCGGCGGCGCCTTCGCCACGGGCCAGTACCCGGCGGCCCTCGACCTGAGCGTACCGCCGCAGCAACTAGCCCCCGAGGACCTGGACGGCCGGCACAGGGCCGCCGGCACCCCCTACGAAACCACGCCCGTGGGGCCCACGCTCCGCGCAGAGAGCCACTTCGGCTTCCCCATGGCCGGCGGGCAGGACAGGATAGCCCTCGGCCACGGGCAGGGCGGCCACTCCAGGAACGGCTCTTCCGTCTCGCTGCCTATCAACCTGGTCTCGGCCTCGCCCGGCCGCGACTTTGACGAGGACGAGGACGGCAGCCCGGCGCGGCGCAAGCGGCCGCGGCGGAGCGACCCGTCCGCCGGCGGCGGCGCCGGCAGCCAGCTGGAGCAGGGCGCCCGGCGCTTCGCGTGCCCCTACCAGGTGGCCGACCCGTCGCTCGACTGCTTCCACACGGGCCGCCGCAACCGCCTGGGCGGCTGCCAGAGCATCTACCGCCTGCGCCAGCACTTCAAGCGCCGCCACCGCCGCTCGCACCGCTGCGAGACGTGCTGGAAGTCCTTTGAGCGCGCCGAGCTGGCCGACAAGCACCGCGAGAAGGGCGGCTGCAAGCCCGCAAACGGCCAGAGCGAGATGTTCATGACGCCCGAGCAGGAGAAGGAGGTGGAGAAGTCGGTCGGGTCCAGGAGCGAGGAGGAGTGCTGGTGGGACATCTTTCGCGTGCTCATCGGCGGCGAGACGGACCTGGTCGCGCTGCAGGCGCGCTACTCTGCCTGTGAGTTTTTGTTGCGGTCCTGCTTTCCACTTGCGCTTCTTTTTTTTTTTTTGCTAACGGGCATTCCTCATCAGACTACCTCCCCAACAGCAGGGAGATGGGCATCATGGCCCAACCACACAGCATGCTCCCAGCCCAGCAGTTCGGCCACCCATCGAGCCACCACTACGACATGACGAGCCTGATGGACCAGGAGTACATGCTCACCGACGCCTCGTTCGAGCTCCAGTCGGCCTCCCAGGACACCATCACTCTACGCCACGGCGGCATCGAGGGCCAGAGCTACGACCACCGCCACCCCGACGCCAGCGCCGCCCAGACCCACCTCGGCCGCATCCGCGAGCTCGTCTCCATGGGCCTCGACGACCAGGCCAGCGCGCGCGACTCGCTGGCGCAGATCAGGGCCATCCTGCCCGCCCTGGAGCAGAGCATCCGGTAACGCTTGCGGGGGGACTGCTTGTGGCTTTGACTAATGTACTTTGCGCGGAAAAGCGGTACGGGTTTGGGTTTCTATACGGCCGTCACTCCTTTGAACGTTTGTATCATAGTATCTTTCCATATTCCCTTGGCCATGTGTTTATGGGCGGTTTTCCTGGACGACTTCTTTTTTTTTTGATATCCTATTTTCTTTTCGGCTTACTTTTCCTTTTGGTATAACCCGCACATTCCCTTCACGATATACGTGTTTTCATTTTGTATATTTCTCTAGGACTACCTCGAAATACTTGTCCATTTTCCTTTTTTCCTATTTGAGATACCCACAGCTTATTTCCATCGGTCTCGAACCTGTAGCCATTTTGCCGCAACTTACGGTCCTTGCCTCGTCAAGATCTATTTTCTCGTCCACTCCTCGGCTTTTTCGACAAGCGCAGAGACGGACAGCTGTAACCTTCACCGGGTTATGACACTTTGACCCGGTCCCTGTCGCAAGGGCGAGCCCGTGTTATCATGCCAAATAGAAAACGCCTCGCGCCCAGCCAAAATCTGCCTGGCGGCCCGCGTGCATGCATGACACCCGCATGTTGGCTCGCAATTTAGCCCAGCAGCAAACAAAAAAAAAAAAATGGCCCAGACCCCAGCAAGCCTTTTGCCAAAATTGGGCACCCAACAGTCAACACACCAGAGCGAGCAGCCGCGCAATCTCACTGCGTCGCCTCGGATCCCTGCAGCATCTCGATTGAATGTCCAGGCAGGCAGGCAGGCAGGCACCTAGCTAGGTACCTAGCATTTAGCCCTCCTTATCGGCAAGCGCACCACACACCCTCCATCACCCCGCCCCCCACATTTATTCTCCTGTCCAGCTCGGTGTGAGTGGCGCAGACCCCATCACCCTCCCTTCTGCCCAACAGCCGACGCGAAAGGGGGACGGGGGGCGCCACCCTTACCGAGCATTCGGGCCGGGCGAAGTTTATTCCTATCCTACCTATCCTAGGGGCTGACGCTGCAGCTTG